CCTGATGCTCATTTTGGGGATTAGTTATATGTCAAGCTTTGAGGTCATATGTATAATTCTGATTAAAGAAGATATTTAAATTTCTGCACATTGTCAGAATACACACACACACTGATATGTGACACATATATGAATAAAATGTATCTTTCCATTTCTTCCTATGGTAATATTAGGGATTCTGTTTTATAGGGTGTCAGATATATTAGCATTTTTCAGTAGTACATTGCATATTTCTACGATCATTTAGTACATATTGGATATATGCCTATGTGACCATACATTTGGTTTATCGTACAGCAACTTTGAATATAAATATTAAAAAAAAGAGGGAGCATCTTTTAAGAATATTTTCTATAATCCCCAAACCAATGAATAGTTTTAATGATAGCTAAACTAATCTTAGAATTTGTACTAAGAATGAACTCTAGTTATCTACAAATTATGTTTGGTTCAACTATACCTTTTTTGGTTTGAAATAGTATTTCTTAATTAAATTTTCCTTTCTCATCTGTATTAAAAATGATGCCAAGGCGCTTCTTTCGCACTTAAGGTTTCTTGAGGAAAACAGGATGTAATCCCTGTTGGATAACAACAGAACAAAATAAAATCTTGCTGCTTTCTTTTTTCTTGGCAATTTATTCCTTCATAAACTGTGCAACCAAATAGAAGAATATATTATTTGTAAATTGTTTCATTTTTGTGTTTTATTCTATTTTTGACAAATAATAAAGTCACATAAATAGCTAACATTTATAGCAATTGTTTTGGAAATTTGCTTTTTGGTTCCCTTCTTCTCCTGCTCATCTGTGGAAAAGGCTATAAAAATATTTGACTTTTTGCAGCTCACATTCATATTTTCTGGTTTAAAGTAGTTTGAAAGATTTAAAATTAATCAACTTTAGTGTTTAAATTAGACAACTGTGTATAAGACAACACATGAAAATATGTAGATTAGAGAGATATTTCATGTCTAACTTCTGGTACTTTTCATTATTCCTCTTGTACTTCTGCTTATGTTCTGTAGGATCTTTCCTGAAAGTCAAAAGTTAGGATTATCCTTAAAACACTATAAAGGTAGAATAAAGTGTCTCTTCAGAAATGAAAACCAGTCAAATGGTTTTTCAAGGCTTCCCAGCATTTCATGTAAGCACAAGACTCCAGAGCTACCTAAGAACACTGTGTTTAGAAAGTGTGCTTTTCTTGTCTCTTCCTCTTCTCTCAGCCTTCTCCTGTGTAGCACATTCTCACAGAGAAGGTTCAGTTTGGGCACACAACAAAGAGACAGATTGATTTGATATATTGTTTTTTAGTTTTAACCACCTGATTAATTAGTCTTTTTAAAAATCATTTATTTATATATGTACTTATTTTAAATCCTTGTAGATTGGTCTTTGGAAGTGATATTATAAGTGAGTATTTTTTCCTCTTGTGTTTTAAATTATCCAACATTTGAACTATTGATATCACCACTAGATGTACTTTAATGAGGTTTGAGGCAACTATGAGCAGATTTTTGCAAAATTGTAAACAATCCTTTTTCTGTATGTTGCTACTAGCCCAATGTTAAAGGAGCCAGTCAGCACAAATGGGTGAATGAACATTCTCTGGGTGAAATACTAAGAGGGTAAACCTTGTTAAGAATTACGCATATTGTCATTTCAGGTCATGTCTATTTGTCCCTTTTCACACTCTTTGTTGTCTTCACAAAGCAGGCTCAGCTCAGGGAGAGAGCAGATATTTCCCATTGCTGTGGCATGTTTGTTAATTTAAGGAAGGGAGTGGGAGCTGGGTGAAAATTCTGGGCAAGAACCGTAAGAAAAGGCTTAACTCAGCATGTACATATGTTAAAAACTATCAGGACTTTTTATTGTGATTATGTGTTCTGGAGTGGGCAGTGGAATATAAGATTTTCATGTATGCCTTTCGTCAAGGAACTCAGAAGTACTTACTATATGAACCTTTTCTTTTAAATGATTGGATTCTTTCTTCCTGCCCTTCCTAAGGGGAGGCTGAGACCAGAAGAGGGTTAGTGGCTGACCCAGTGAGTTAGCATGGCACTGGGGACGTCATTTCATCAGTCAGATGTGGTATTGATCCTCTAAGGATAAGCAGCGTTGCTTTGTAGGTTTTAGGCAACTTCTCATATGTTGGGGGGAATCAGTCTTTTAAGGGTTTAATTTAGCACCTGCTGCTTTTGCCCTCATTGAAGGAGCTGTTTATAGAGTGTTATCAAAAATTGCTGATTAAATAGTCACTGCTACTTTGAGTGGAAATTCAGTGCTTCCATGTCACCATGGCAAAATGAGGCAGGAGGTAGGAATTCCTGGAGAATTCCAAATGCAGCCCTGGTTTTACTGTTGCTTAGATTGCACTCCTGCCCTTCACCTTCCCTTGCTTGCCAGCGCAGAGTGAAGCCTTTATTCCTTTAGGGTCTGATTCAGCTCTAGTCCTCAGAAAGACCATAATCAGAAGTTGGTTTGGTTTTTCACTTTTGTATTTTTCTTTATCAGAGGGTTTCATGATTCTGATTTGTAAGACATTCTTGTTGTGGTTTGGCCACACAATAAATCTACCTTTGCTCTAAAATAATACTGGATTGTTGGAAAAGTCATAACGCATTTTTGCAACGAAAATCATAGAAAAAAATACGTCACGACTTTTATGACAACCCAATAATAGGTTACGCTGATTGATTCACTGATGTAAAAACAGCCACTTTTTTACATCAACGAATCAAGTTTATTTTTTCCAAAGTTTTTGAAAAAGACATTTCTATCCAGTCCAGAATTAGAAGGTCCTCTCAAGATGGAAATACCTGTTGTCCCCACCAGTGGTTAGGTCGGTGGCTACACGCATTCAGTATGCCAGTTGTTTCTGAGTATTTTGCCAGTACTATATTTGTTTTCTCAAAATAAATTGAAAAACAAAAGCATCATGATCTTTTCTGAGCTTTGGTGGCCAAGTTCTATTAGGCCTTAGGCCGTTCGTGTGACTATGTTCTCAGTGTTTTATAACGTGAGTGTAATAACATTATCCATAGGAAATCATAAAGTCATTGGGTTTCTGAGGTCAGTGGAGGGATCTCTTAACATGAATATTGGGATTATCAGTCCACACACTATTAGACTTGCATGAGGCTGGGTAAGGGATGGTGTTTGAGTAGGGACTGCAGGCAAATTTGGGGATTCCCCTCACAAAAAGAGGAATTAAATGTTGGGCCAGTAAATTAAGGGATAGCAATCCCAACTCTATCTACTGGTTCAGATAATTAAATATGTTTGAGCATCTACACACTTAACTTGAGGTAGACAGGTTCTCCAGCTGTGTCTGTTCCTCCGACTTCTCTTTGTAAAGAAGGCCGGGCTGGGAGGAGTGAACCCTCTTTTAATTAGGTAAGTTTTTAGTGATCAGAGCCATTATTCTGTTTTCTAATATAAATTAAATTATCTTTCTAAGAACCCTGTGCATATGAAAATGGCTTTGGTCTTTTATCCTCTTGCAGAGAAATTTGTTAAAACCACAAAAACTGGTAATTTCTGAAAGGCTTTCTGATCTTGGATTTTCTGGTGCCAGTTTGCTCTTTGGAAAGCTTTCTTTTCATTTCTTACATGCAGGTGTTATTTCACCTTCATACCACAGTCCACAGCTTTCTGAGGCACTAAGCATAATCGAGTTGTTCTCCTCACCCTCTCCAGTGGGCATGTCAGTCAGTGAGACCACAGCAGGGACATAGGTGCTCACCCATCAGAACGCTCAGCGCCGACAATGTCATGATTACGTTAACGGAATGTGACTGACGTTTTGTGAGTTTTTCTGTCTTCATTAAACTTGTTCACCTTCTCTGAAACCCCTCATGCTGCACACTAGCACGGAGCAGCCGTATCCCTCGACCCAGCATGAGTCAGGGGTGCAGCCGCGATACCAGCCGTGAGAGCAGCCGAGATACAAGCCCTGCTCGGGGCTTCCCTCCGCTCGGTGAGTACACTAGGCGCTGGCTCTCGGAGCAGAGTCCCTCCCCTGCTCCACTGCTTCCCCCAGCACCGCTAGGTGGAACGACCTGCTTTCCCTCCTCTGCTGTCCTTGTGATCCTTTCTTCTTCTTTCTTTCCTCTTCCTTAGTTGCCCTTTGTTGTCCCCCTCTGCATGCTTGAATTTTGGCCACTTCCAGTTTTTCTATATTAGGGGGAAAAAGCACCACTTCACTCTGTGCTGTTGTCATCTATGATCACTTGCTGCCAGGCAAGCCCATCTGTGTGATAATTTCTAACATAAAGTGAAGCTCAGCCAAAGTTAATTGCTGCTTAAAAGTAGAGTTAATGCACAGTTTATCCTTACTCACTGAATTTCAACAATTTCTGTTTAAGAGAATAGGCCATACGTGATTCAATTCAAAGAAGGAAAAAAAGTAAAATCATGGTGACATTTAGGACACTAAATGATCTCATTTAAGGGGTGACAACATTAATCTGAAAATCAGCGTGAATGAAGATAGTAGCCACGTTTTCGTTAAATGAGTCATTTCAAAGCTTTCTTATTTGAAATAGTCTAAAAATAGCTTTTTGATAAATTGCTGAGGTGTCCAGCGCAATGCAGAACTTCATGACATTCATTGTTAACTAGATATTTTCATTCTTCCTGGGCTCAATAGGCTAGTTAACGTCTGTGACCTGATGCCATCCCAGGACCAAAAATTACAATACTTGGCTGCCGTAGGTTGTGTAAGTGCCGTACCTCAGGTCGCCAGCCAGGCGCCAGCTGGGGCTGCTCGTTCTCCACCCCCCTCAGTTTTTCTATATCCAGAATTTGTATTTTAACAGTTTCTAGGATTCAGGAAAAACAAGACAAAAAGAGAAATATGTATCCTCTATAAAATATTTTGTTTACCTTTTCATTTTAGTTTTACTAGTGCTGCCTTTTTCTAAAATGGACATGTAAATTGCTTTTTTACATAGTGCAAATTATTGATCCCCCAAAATGTCTGTCAACACATACTTTCACATAAAACAAGTATTTTGTAGTCTTCAGTTAATTGTGTCTTAGCTCTGTGGTGTATTAAGTGCTGTACGCTTATGTATTTTCCTCTTGATAAACAGAGGAGGTAGAAATCATTTTATAACGATTAGGCCTAGACCTGCGGTTATTATATAGAACTGTGGACTGCAGCAGTCTGTTGTTTTCACTGTAACTGGTTATGTAACTGGTCTTTCCAATATAAAAATGTCAGAAGCATAAGATCTTAATATTTGTTTCTGTTGCCTCTCTTGTCATACATTTCTTCCCAGTATCCTTTTCCCCACTCAGCATCAGTCATCAGAATCTAGATACATTCATTTAGGACCCCTTGTCCCTTGTGAAGTTTTGAGGAGGAGCAGGCAGCAGGTGCAAAAGCCCTGCTGGATGAGGCCCGTGACTCAGCAAGAAGACGCCTTGGTGAGGTGTGCTACCTGATTAGCATGCAGACCAAAGTGGGGGGTTTACCTGGCACACATCAGTTCTTCCGCAGCAATGTGAAGCATTAGGTCAGAATTCTCAACAGATCAATAGTGGCAGTTATTATTATTTTTTTTCTGAATGAACTGGTGATTTTTCCTTTTAAATTAAGGCTGTATATCTGTGCATCCTGCTCACTATCTGACCTTCCAGACAACCCATTATATAAGTGAACAATCTATTTATTGGTCACTTTGTCTCTTAGAGGCACTTCAGTCTTTTTATTTCATACATGTACTGGTATTTTTGTCATTGTCCATGGAAGCAGCCTTTGTAATCCAGCAAGGCGTGCTGCACTCTTGAGGTCCCGATTGAACCCTGAGGAGCTGAGTGACCTAGTCTGTTTTTAACTTCCTGTGGTAAAATGGATCTTCTTTAAGTGTCTTGGTGACAAGCCAGAATGCTGAAATGGATAATGCTTCTACCAAGGCAGAAGAGGTGGATGCAGACATTTCCCCTTCCTAACAAACTCTGGTATCAGCACGTGTCTTCTGTTGCAGTCAGGGCAAAGTAACTTCTTTTCAGCTGAATTTTTATACCATGCCTTTTTTTCCCTCCGTGAGTTAAATCTATTTATAAAGCTTTTATTGAGCAAGAACAGCAGTGCTTTTGGGTACCTGGCACCATTCTGAGCAGCAATAGGCGTAATCCCTTGTGATCCCTCTGGGTATTGTCATCTCTCTGTTACGGATGACAAAACAGACTTAAGGAGAGTAAGCCAGTTTCTCAAGGTCACACAGCTAAGCAGTGGGGCCAAAGTTTGAATCCAGGCCTGACTTCCAAGCTTGGTGGTTGCCCTGCCTCATTTGAAAGCATTTCTGATAATTTAGCACCTTTCATTTGTTCCTCTGTATGAAATGTATTGAATGCTTTCTGTGACCTCTCCAAGCCATAGAAAGTACTCAGCCATGTTTCTGAATCATGATTTCCAGGCTTGGGGTTAGGACCTAGGAGTTCTTACCTAAGTCCCAGAAGGTTGTCCCCAGAGGAACTTACTGTGCCCTTCAGAGGATGTGAGCTTTTCTTCTTTTTCTCATTCACTTAAATACTCATTTCCCACCCCCTTTATAAATTAGTGTAAGTTCTCCTTTGAATCAACTCATATGGCCAAGCTTTGCTTTAAAAAGAGGGGGGTGTGAAACTAATTATGTTTCAGTAAATATATATTAGTTTTAAGTTTGCGCTTTTATTACAAAATTGTTTTGGACCATTTTAATGGTATGAATATCTGTTTATATGGTTACAGTGAGAACTTTTAAGTGAAATTAAGGGCTCCAGGACTTACTGTAAGTCAGGCTTTGACGTAAGTGGGTTCACCTTGGATTCTATTGCTAGGTGTTCGCTGAGAGTGTGACAGAGGACTATAGGATTTCCTATAGGATATTCTGTTGAAATAGAACCAAAGGACAACTTTATAAGGAACTTTTAGATCAGGTATTGCTTAAAAGCTATTTTTGGTTTAATCTGTCAAGATAATGATACTGATATGCTTGCATAATAAGTGAATATTTTGCTTCAGTCTTACAAAACATTTTCCCAACTTCCTTATTTGAGTAAAGTGGTTATTTTATAATATCTGTTGTGGAGATTGCTGGTTTATTTTTGTGCTGCTTGAGGAATTAGGAATTTTCTTATTTTCCTTTTGCAAGCTGGTAAAAATTTATCCTTATTGACCAGAAAGCTTTAGCTATTTAGTACCACATATACCACAACTATGTGTACTTCATAAAGTGACATCAGCTTGAAAAATAAAACTATATTGAAGAGTTTGAAGTTTTCATAGTTTGTGCCTAACTGTAAATGCTAATGTCTACAGGATACTGTACTCCAGTAGTATGCATAAAAAATAGTACTGCTTGGGATTACTTTGTTAAACCTATAAGTCATCTATGGTCCAGTCATCATGTTCTTCTCAGAGTAATGAAGAGAAGCATATTATCTGTTTTTTTTGTTTGTTTTTTTTCCCCTGAGATAAAAGCCATATATTAACTGGCACTCTGGTCAATAAATTCATGTTTTGAATCAAATCTATATTTTATAATGATTTCTCAATGTTACCTTCTCCCCATGAGGATGGAGTTTAGCATCTATTTCCTCAGACTGAACAGTTAATATGCTTATTATGAATACTTGCTAATACAACCACGCAATGTCTAAATGTAAATGGGAGTTTACTCTAACCATTACTGCCACCAACAGCACTGCTGCTACGACTGTTACTACCACTGTTTATTCTGTGCCTGGCATCGTGTCACGTGCTTTATGTATGATCTCTTTTAATTACCTTAACTCCCAAGAGGTAGGTACCATTATTAGCGCCATTTTATTGATGAGGAGACTAGACACAGAGGGGTGAAGTACTTTCCTTGAGGTCTTAAGCTTGTGTGATCACACCAGGATTTGCCTCCATTGTATTACAGAGTCAGTGCTCTCAGAACCGTAGCACTGCAAATGTCTCTCCATGGAAAGCCATTAAACTTGCAATTAATTTTTCAACAATTAAACACTAAGTTCATTAATTAGGATATTCAGGCAATAGAACAACAAACATTTTGACTTGGGAAAATGGAATTCCAGTTGTCAAGTCCCCTTCTTGTGATTTCATTCTGTTTCTGTTCAAATAACATTATGAACTTCTCTGCTTTTGTTTTTGGTGCATGGTTGCATAAGCATCACATACTGATAAGACATCTTGTGAGCTGAGTTAATAATCCATCCTACTGCTGTTCTGCTCTGGGATTTAGACGGTGCTGTAGGACTCCGGACGCTCTTCATGTTGCATATTTCCATAATGGCTGATAGAGGCTTCATGGCGTGACTGTCCACCTGGAGTCTGAATTAGCTGGTGCATAAGGAACACCTTACAGAGTAGGGTGCCTTTGTTGTACCTGTGTGTTTAACAGCTGTGTGAGAGCCAGCAGGCTGCTGGGAGTTTGGGGATTGGCACTTGCTCTCCACTCATATCCAGCACCATTTCTTTTCACGAGAAAACATGGCCTGTTGGTAGCAGTCCCTGCGTTTCCTTTGGACTGTGGCATTTTCTGTCTTGGGAACTTCTGTGTTAATCCTGTGGGTGTTGCCGTTCCTTTTACCTGCAGCCTCTCGACGTCATTCCAGGTCCACTAGTGCTCTCTCCACTGCTGAATCTGTTGGGCAGTCAGGTGAACAAGTGCTAACTGCATGACTTGGCTTCTTCATCTGTTCTAGTTTCACACTCATTTCAACATTTGTTTTCATCAGTGTCGGCTAGCACTTGGCATGTATGCACCTCATATTTTTTTTCCCCAATGTGCTTTTATTTTTTTAAGTTGTTGAATGTTTATGGTTCTGTTAATAGGCTGTACGTAGATGCCTTATAGCCTGTTTGATAACGTCATTTCTCCAGTGTTCATATTTATGTTAAAACAAAACAAAACAAAAAATGGGGAAGCACGTCTCACCCTCTGTTCACTCCCTGCCCCGGGAAAACAACCACCCAAACCTAGGTATCCTGAAGGGTCCCCATGGGGAAATAGGGGGTGGATATCATCCAGTAGTGTCTTTCATCTCCCAAGTCTTGCCTCCTAATAAAGTTTTGATTATTAATGTTAGTTATTAATGTCAGGTTCTAATTACTTGGAGGTACTGGTTAGTTACCAACTTATACATAATTTCACATGTATAAAAATAAATGAATTGTCCTAAAATTTTTATGGAAAAACAAGATCATGATTCAGATGAAATCACATCGGGTCAATGGTTGCTTTTATAGCCTTTGGACCCTAAGCTTTCTGTCTCAGCCTCGTTTTAATACCAGAAATTTAGTGGTTAGCCATTGGGGCAAAGAGGAAGCATACAATAAGACATCTGTTTGCCGGATTTAACTGGCATCGTTTCGATATGCTAACAGTCCCTAATGCCTATACTTGTCTCAGTTGAGCAAGGTACAATCTACCAAATCACAGGCAACAGCTGTGACCAATTCTCTGAGTAGATATTTTCTCTGTTCTTCCTCTGAATGAAGCCAGCTCTGCATTTTATTACATATGCTCTGATTGGTCCATGCCCCTAAAGATGATGGGCCAGGCTGAGAGCACAGTCGTATGTATCCATCTCTTGGGAAATGGAGCACCACAATAGTGTCAGAGCAGTGAGGACGTAGCCCAGATTTGGGTCTGGTGAAAGCAAAAGGCTGCTCATTTTGCTTGGATCCAGACCGACATTTCCCCTTAAGATTTGAAATTCAAATTATCTATGATACCTATCGAATGATCTTCAGTTACTGTGTATGACAAAGCTGTATGCATCTGGGAGGCACAGAATAATTGCATTGTTCTTAGTTTTAATTTTGTGTCTGAAAAATCAGTATTACCCCTGGAGCAAGAATTGCTGGCATGAGATCTTTTTTTTTATTTTTTAATTTTTTTTAGAGTCCGTTTTATTTTAGTTTATGCTGGGTAATTTTTAAATGGCTTATAATTGAATTACTTTCATTCTGTTACCCATAAATCCCTTACTATCCACCCTTTTTTAATGGGAAAAAAAGATGACAAAGATCATTTATAAAACTATGTGCACGATAATTCTCAAATTTACACTTGTTTCATATTTCAACTGATAATTTATATCTATATCAGTATATAGATATAATTGTTGTGTGGTCTCTTTTTAGTTTATATGGTGCATTAAATTGCTTTTTTAACATAAAGGCCAAGATGACATTCAGTATGATCAGCAAGTGCATTAAAAAAGGGGATAGTATAACATATAATTTTTGTTTGTTTATAAAAATTCATGACTGTATAACTTTTGATTAGCAGTGTTTAAATTTTTTTCCCTTTCTGTGGTGATGGAAGGTATAATGTTTTGAAACTGACATTTTAAAAGAGCTAAATAGCACTTCACTTTTAGTGACTGGTTTTTTTGTTTTGTTTTGTTTTTTGTTTTTAAGCTGAGCCATCCTGCCACCTGTTGGCAGCTCAGCGGCTGCTCAGCTTGGGCCGGGAATTGAACCTCTGTTGCTCAGAGCTCAAACTCTTGAGCGAGCTCTTAATCAACTGAGCCAGTCGGCCGGCCCAGCACTTCACTTTTAAAGTTCACCAGTTTTGTAGGTGATGTTTTGTTACATACCTAAAATTTTACATACATCATTTTATAGGAAATATCAATTCATGTAAAACAGATACTAGCTTTCTTTTTATTCTAAGTGCTTCATTACTAGAATGTGGCTAGTACAGAGACTTTCCTTGTTCAGTGTCTTACTTGTTAATAAAGAGGAAGCATTTTTTTTTATATTAACATTTTCTTCCAAAGGTCTTTTTTTTATTCCTTAGCATTTTAAATAAGAAACTTTTGCCAGGAGATAATGCAGTACACTTATTAAGTATAATTTAAACTGAGTTTCTCCTATTATACAATAGTTTAAGTCTCAGCACTTCTTAAGGAAGGCTGGTCAACTCGTCAACTGACTTAAAGAGACTTTAAAAAGTTAGTATTTGTCCATAATCATTAACAAGCTTAAAATAGTTGTTTAAAATGCTAAAATTTGTTTTAAATTCTTTGGATTCTATCCATTGTGTCTAAATGTATAATATAATGGCTATGATTTAATAATAATCCTTTGAGAGAGTCAGGAAAAATGTGTACAATATATTCTGAATTATTAATGTTTTGCACTGAAGATGCTAGCTTTGTGGTGATTATTAAAGAATTTTAATAAATTGATTTTTAAATAACCTTTGGTGACAGGCATCATGATGGACAAGTACCTAAAATTAATTAAACTTAGCAATAGTTAAACTGAAGTGACACTAGTGAAAATTTTATAGAGTTCAATTTAATACATTTGTTTCAAATTTTAACTTTTTATTACACATTGCACTAGGACTCATTTGTCAAACCCTGAAGCTTTCTAATTAGTTTGACCAACCCTCAGGGACACTTGCCTGTAGGAGGAATGCTAAATAGATTAAAAGACTCAACTTGTAGCCCAGCTCCCTTCTATAGTAAATTCTTACCTCTCCTGTGTCACAACACTTATCAAAAATAAAACAAAATTAAAGAACCATTTCAATTGTCAGGATGCTTTGTGGCACGATAGTATTAAAGGAACAACCTAACGCCTGCCACTGGTAAACAAATATAGTTAAAACTCAGGTCAGGTGTAGTTAAAATTGGTGAGAGAGTTTTTGGTGCCTTTGTTCTGTAGGTGGAAGAGGCAGGAGTCCTTGCAAAGAATTGAGAAAATGTGAATTAAAGTGACATACCTTCTTGCTTTTGTTTTTTTAATAGACCGATTTGGGCTTGGTCAGGCAGGAAGAATACCTGGTTCTGTGAATGCCATGCGAGTTTTAAGCACGAGTACAGACCTGGAAGCTGCTGTTGCTGATGCTTTGGTAAGAGTCACAGAGTGTATAGGGTCTCTGAATTACTCATCTGCCTAATTCTCTGACTGAACAGAAAATTGCCTCCAAATCAGGTTACTAAATCCTCTTTGACATTCTTTAAAATTGTGCAGATATTGGGTAAATTTGTATTATTGCTTTTTTCTTGAACTTTTATCTGTACACAAGTGAAAATTGGCTATACAAAAACAATTAGCATCAAGTATTTCTTCTGTGCTCCTCAGTACCAAGGAAGTTTTAATGACATTGGGCTTCTCTGATGTCATTGGGTGTCTTTTTTTTTCTTCCCCCCCAGCATCTCCTTTTTTTCCATTCTATTGCTTTTATTGCTTTATAAGCTTTGATGGCATAACCTAAACATATCATTATAATAGTAGGTAATAGAGTTTGTGGTTTGAAAATCTTGCATTTATTCCATTACCTCACTAGTTTTTCCATGTGATTTTTTTTTTTTTTAATGAGTCCTTAAGTCATTTTTTAAGGAAACTTCCCAGATTTTAAGATTGACTCTTCAAGGACATGAAGCACTGGTAGAGTATGTTTTTGCATCATTACAATGTAATATCTAAAAAAAAATGACATGATAAGAGAGCCTTAAATTTGTGGTTATAGCAAAAAGTTCCTTAGTAGAATCTGCTTGTGGTGTGATTGCTTTTTATTTTTATTTTCTTTTTATAAATGGTAATCCTTTTTTTAAGATTTTATTTGGGAATTGGGGGAGGGGAACACTGTTGGGGAATTAGGGAAGGGGACCAGCCAAGTTGTTCTTCAGTCTTTGTTGTGGAGGGCACCAGTCGCCATCTGGCTTCCCATCGGCAGCTCGTGGCCTCTAAGCTCAAGGTGCTGTGTTACAATCTCAGTTGCAGGTGGGCGTAGCCACCATCCCATGCAGGAGTTGAACCTGTCAGCCTTGTTGTTAAGAGTGCACGCCCTAGGCTGGCCGAGTGGTGCGTTGGTTAAGAATTGGCTTGGGACGCCAGCTCTGAGCTTCAAGGCCCTGGTTTGAATCCTACATGTGGGCCAGTGACGCTGCGCCCTATACAGCTAAGATGGTGAACAACAACTTGACCTGGAGCTGGGCTGCAGCCCTTGCTGCAGTGGGCTGCCCTGAGCTACAGTGAATGCCTGGCAGCCGGCATGACCTGCCGTGAGCCGCTGTGAGCGGCCGTCCAATGGTAGGTGAACGACTGACTCACCGGGAAGAGTGCAATGATAATACCAGCATGGGCCAGTGAAGCGACATCTTCCACGACTAGCCTGAAGAAAAAGGACAGCAACTTGTCTGTCCCCCTTCTCTGATTCCCTAACGCTGTTCCCCTCCCCCAATTTCCCAATAAAATCTTAAAAAAATAAAAAAGAGTGCACGCCCTATCCACTGAGCCATCCTGCCGGCAGCTCAGCTCAAGGTGCTGAGTTAAGTCTTAGTTGTGGGTGAGCATAGCCCATTGAACAGGCAGTCTTGTTAGGAGCATGTGCTGTCACCAGCTGAGCCATCCTGCCACCTGTTGGCAGCTCAGCGACAGCTCAGCTCGGGTGCAGCGTCACTGGCCCGTGTGGGAATCGAACTGGCGGCCCTGTTGCTCAGAGCTCGCACTCTTAAGCCAACTCTTAACCAACTGAGCCACTCAGCCAGCCCTGATTGCTTTTTAAAGGTACATTTCAGCTAGTAGTAACACAGCCTCTTGCATATTCGGGTTTGTGTGCTCAGCATTTAAAATAGGTGTTCTTTAGAACTGTCTGATCTCTGGTCTTGCTTGTACTGTGTGAAGATTTGTTCTCTTCCAAGGGAAAAAGTATTATAATATCCTGCTTACACATCCTGAAGTTTTAAATTGAACCATGTTTTTTCTGATCAGAATTTTATATTTTGTGGCTATCGTGATTCTGACTTGCACCCCTACCTCTCTCTCCCTCATTTATTCTCGCTCAGTCAGATGTTTTTGACAAGTGGCTGTGGGCAAGCTGTTTGCTGCTTTCATAATGCTTTCCCTGTAAGCAAGGGCTGCCTGGCCAGCCAGCTGATTTTATCAACCTTATATGTAGGAGGGCCTTTTTTCTGCCAGGTACTGGAGTTGAGGATAACTGCCCTAACCATGGCTTCAACTTAAAGAGTCACAGCTGGAACAGAGTTCTGTGAAACTTTTTCCTTTCAAGTTGCAGTATTTAGAATCTGTCTCTTTGTTCAGAGACCCTAGAAAGTGGAGGTTAGAGGGGTGGGAAGTGATGGATGTGCAAAATGGTTATATGGGACTTCCAGTTAAGGAAGGGGCGGGGTGTTCCTTAGTTCTTTAAAGAACTGCATAAGGGACTGTGTACAAAGTTCCAGGAGGCAGAATAGGACTTGAGAATTTGAGCTTTGGCTTTACTTGGACTTTTCTCTGAGCCCTAGCTCCTGTTACACTCATTCCCTTACTACTTTTTGTCCATATTGCCTGGTTTCTCTGATTGAACTGCTTCAGAAGAGAAAGCTCAGGAATGGTACATAATCCTTGCCTCACAGAATAGACGCCACAGGGGCAGAAGAATGTATCCCAGCGATAGACAACAGAATTAATGGTGACTTTAGAGATGGCTCTCAGGGGTATGGGGAGAGTTTTAGCAAAGTATTATAGCAAGTACAGGAAGGTTTTATAAGCGGTATAGGAGCGTTCGGAAATGCCATTTTGAAAGCATTCTTTTTTATAATTTGCTAAATATGAATTGCTTGCTAACCTGTGGTTTTGATTTGCTAAGGTATGTTTTGCTGTACACTTTTGTTGCAAGAACAGTCCCCACATATGCTTCTGACATAATTCTCTATGCTTTTTCCCCATCCTTCAATATTTTCCTGCCTACAGCTGTTAGGAGACTCCAGGAGCAAGGTACTAGTGCTTTAACTTTTGTTTTACAACTTTATTTTTTCTGTTGCGAGTATATCTCCTTTAGGAGCTAGTGAAAGCAACAAAAAATGTAGTATAGTATAGAAATTCTGGTCTGAATTATGATTTTGTTGAATCTAGTCAAGCTCTTATTAATAATGGAATCAGTCACCTCTCACATTTGTTTTAGTATTTATTTTGGATGTCAAGTTCTGTGCCTTTTTCTAATAGTGTTTCATTTTATTAACCCAGTTTGTGTCTACTCTTACGTCATTATTATTTCATGAATGGCTATGTTCAACATTTTTCTTATTTTAGGAATCTACTTTATATGTAAGTCAGGTGATCATATAATTTATTATCCTAACAAAGATACTTTTGAGAATGACAGTGGGTGCTATTTATAATTATGCTGGGACAATGGTCAAAAGACAACTGCCCTGAGCAAGTTGGGATGTACGTACAAGCCATTCTATTAGAGAATTGCATTTATACAATTTAAGCCGGTAACTATTTGTTTTTCTCTTAAAGATACTGCATTTTATACATTTTATCAATTTTATATAGCTGCTGCTCTATTTTTTATGGCTTTAACTTACAGTTTTATATTCAGGGTAAGAAATGAATGAAGCAGGTATTATAGTTTACGGGAAGGCGATTTGTATTATAAAACTTTGAAGTCCTCACTAAAAGTGGCTCAGATAATTGAGGAATCCTTTTGCATAGGATGCTCTGCCACTGACATTTTAGTTTCAGACTTTCTTAAGGAAACATGAATATTCAAACAAACTTACCCATAGGCCTTGCTCAAAATACATTGCTTTTGATGGGGAAGGGGCCGTGGGTATATATACGTGCATTGTGTCAGGTGCTGAGGTGTTGAACCTGTAATTCCACTGAATCCTCACCACAAACCTATGAGAGGAATCATCATCATCATCTCAAAGACAGGGAAACTGAAGCAGAAAGATCAGGAGGCTTTCCGAAGTCACGGCCAGTCAGAGGCGGCTGGGATCACACCCCAAGTCTGTCTTACTGAGAAGCCCACACCCTGTCCTAGCGACCATACTCTTCTCTCTGCCACAGCTTGCTCTGCCTATTCCTTGTTGTATCTCCCGGAAGTCCGCCTTTCTGTTCATTCCCCGACCTGCAAGCACAGGGCAAGTGTGGTGTGTCCGCATATTCGTGTGTATGTTTTTACATCTAACTCTTTGTTGTCGGTAGTTTTGTTTGGTCTGACTCATGGTCATCTCATCTTTCCATTTCTCCCTCCATCACCCCCATCCCTCATTGGATCTGGTAGAAGAAGCCTGTGAGGCGGAGATACGAGCCGTATGGGATGTATTCTGACGATGATGCCAACAGTGATGCCTCGAGTGTTTGCTCGGAGCGCTCCTATGGTTCCAGGAATGGTGGCATTCCCCATTATCTGCGGCAGACCGAGGATGTAGCAGAAGTTCTCAACCACTGTGCTAGTTCAAACTGGTCAGAAAGGAAAGAAGGGCTTCTAGGCCTGCAGAACTTGCTGAAGAGCCAAAGAACGCTGAGGTGAGGATAAGAGGCCAAGTTGTGAGCTCAGCTTGAGCCCGTTATGCTCATCCGGGGCTTACATGGATTCCCTGTCATGTATGGAGTCCTTACAGAGCCCAGCGCTAACGGTGATAAGAGGGCTGAGACCTCGTCTATGCCTTCCGGAGACTTTGAAATTTCTGGCTAATGCTCTATAATTTATTAGATTTATAAAAACACTTGGTTGTGGATAAGATAGCAATCTCAGTCTAAAGTTTTTTTAATATACATATGCATATACATAGCTTATAAATATGCATACTAAAGAGATACTAAAATGGTGTACTCCAAAATAGTAACAATATTATCTCTAGAATTATTTTTGCTTTTTTCTGTTTCTGTATTTCATAAATATTCTAAAATGAGCATGTATTACACATACCAAAAAATGTGTGTTTATACCATGTTTCATCAAATATAAGGCACCATTACACACCGTGATTTTATACCCCTGTAAGAAGAAGTGCTGCTTATTAAACCTGACATTACTAATACGTCTTTGATTATAAGATGAATCTTACAGTTACAGAGATGTTAAATGTGAAAAAGTGGGCAACTTAGAATCCATGAAATACAGTATATTGTATTCTTTAGATAATTTTTTAAAGATAAATTATGATACCGGATTAGTTTATGGTCCTAGGTGGGTTCTGCAAAGCTAAGTGAGCACTGACAAGTGAATCACCACGCCGCAAGTATGGCGTCCAGTCAGTCTGACTCACCTTGCTGTATTCCTACCTGCTGACCACCATCCCCACCTTGCTCCATTCTGTTCATGACGATGTCACGAGAAGTTTTGTCATATGCCTTCTGAAATGCAGGTAGCCTCTGACCACTAGGGATCTGTCAAAAAACAAAATGAGGATGATCTGTTGTGATCATTGCTTCAAGAATCTGTATAATTCTGGTGGTCACAGTTTCTTGATTCTTAGTGTTCAAGTATCCATTCAATCTCTAAAACTCTCTTGATTAGCATTGGTCTAATTTAGATTACATTGTTAATAATGTTAAAGGATCATTGAACCAACTATCTCATGTGCATAAGGGGAGATTACTCAGGCATCATTTGGGGAAGAGATGACACTTTTAATCAAGCCTTGAAGTAAAAAATGGGACTCGGTAGTACAGTTAAGAATAAGAAAAGGAAAAGGAGCCCTAAAATGAAATGAGTGTTTGGTTTATCTTAGGCACACTTGTAGGTAGGACGGGTTATCTGCTTTAATACCATCAGCAGCCAGGGAGCGCTTGTCCTGTGTGACTGTTACGGATATAAAGTATCAGAGTACTTCGTCAGTATCAGAGTACTTCGTCTGTAAAATCCAGGTCTGCCTGACCCCAAAACACATGCTTTTCCTCGTTTATCCCATTGCCTTTCATCTGTGGCAGGTGGAAAACAACAGACCTGGAATGAAATGAACAGAATTTAGCTCATGGCTTCACCACTTGCACACGTGTGCCCTTAGGCAACCACTCTCTGAGATTGTTGCCTCATTTTTAAATGAGAACAAAACTATGACAGTTTTATATTCCTGCTTAGTTTCGTCATGAATTAAATAATATAATTCACTGTGAAAAAAACTTTGTTACATAAAAATGATATAAAGCTTACAATTGAAATAAAAGAATTTTTAAAAGCAAAGCTGTAATTTCAGTGTTGACTTACAGAATTTTAAGTGCATTTATTTCCATTTTATTTCCTTTAGTCGAGTAGAATTGAAAAGATTGTGTGAGATCTTCACACGGATGTTTGCTGACCCTCATAGCAAAGTAAGTGTGGGGAATCATGCCTTGCTCCCATACTCTGCATGTTTGTGTGAGCGGTATAATATACTACTGAAGACTGAGATGTATTGCCTATAGTGTGGTTTACACCTACTGATTTAATACTAATTTCAGCAAAGGTTTGTCACATCTTTTAAAATCAGAATTCTTGGAAACTTCAAAGGTCCGTGAAACTTCAAGTTATAAATAAAGTATATTTCGAGTAAGAGTTACGGAGAGAATCAGATGTAGTCTTTTCACTCAGCAAATATTTTTGGGTGGCTCCTATTAGGCAAATAGTGGGCTAGGTGCTAGAATGTAACATTGTATTATAATATTGTGCCTTTTTAAAAAGAGTTATAGTAGTGAAGAAAATGATCAAGTATATAATAATTTTTTGGCATCCCATGTAGAATTTTTCTAATATAGGACAAGATAGAAAAATAGAAGCATTTATGTAATGGATTTATTGGAAAACCAGGTTAAGTTATTCTTCAAATAGAATTTTGCTGTCCCCAAGAACGAACGTGCTGGATGGTGGCCCCTCAGCTGGCGCCTACATTCCTGGGGGCCCAGGAGAACACTAAGCCTGAGGACTGCCTTTGTGACAGGGCATTCCTGCTGAAGGAAAACACCTGTCCATGAGAGAACGGGCCCTTTCTAGGAGCAGTGCCGAGAGGGGCCCTTTATAAAAGTTTACTTGGAATCTAGATTTTAAATAAATACCATTGTTTGGGAGGAATCCTTTAGAGGCTGATAGATGCTTTTAGAGAAAGAAAACATGGATAACGATATCAGGAAAGTTAAAGGGTGAAGAAAGGACAGAAACTAAACTAGAAATTGATAAAACCTTACTCACTATAAGCAAATCTTAAATGTTTGACATACAGGGTTTAATTATCTCATACTGCAGTTTTCCTGGTAAAAGTAATCTGTTCTGAATTTTGCTGGAAGAACGAAACCTGTGATGGCCAGAAAGTCCAGCCCGTTTCTGTGATGTCCCTTCTTTTCCTAGCCTTTCTTCTTCATAGGAATTGTCCTTGAAGGGACAATTCAATTCACCCATCTGTCCATTCATTCAGTATTTAATACTGAATCACTGCTCTGGGCCGGAGATGCAGAAAGCAGCACACCACCCTTGCCATGGAGCAGAGGAGAATGAATGCAGGGTTCTCCCCCCTTTTTGGCAGCACTTCTCCTCAGTCACTGGTCTCGAAGTCTGTCCTAAAACTCCTGTTATGACCCTCACAGCTAGGTTAACATTAGCAATATTAATAAGATCCAAGAAAGGTGAATGCCACCTTTTTTTCTTTTAATATTTATGAAGTACCTCTTGTGTCAGGTGTTCAACTAAATGCTGATGATACACATTGGCGAGCAACACAGAAACAGTCCTGCCTGAGTACTTCTAGTCTGGGGGGAGCTGAACCTTAACTAGTGGTGCTCACACACATCACAGACTGGATTGAGTTTTTTCAGTGAAGTAGCCAGAAGTTTCCCTAAGAAAGTGAGATATGAATTAAAATCTGAAAGGTTAACAGTTAACTAAATGATGAAGGAAGCAGTCCAGGTAAGGGAACCACACAAATAGCCAAAGATACAATTACCAAGATTTTTCTCTAAGATAGTGTTAAAAACAGTAAGATTTAAAGCATAAACATAAGATTCATAGGATTCATAGCATAAAGGATATTAGTTTTTGGACATTGATGACATTTTTGTTACCTGTCACCTCTAGATTGCTGATTCAGAACCAGAATGTGAGGATAAAGAAGGAAATTTGTTTCCAACAGAAGGCTCTTGTACAGTGAGTTTGGAAGTCTCAGTTTAGTTATTACTCACTAGCTGCCTTGGAGCTGAACTAGGAATCCCACAGCTGGGGCTCATTGACTTTCTTCTGAGCTGTCTCACAGGAGACCCCTGGTGGTTGATAGTCACTGCGCTCTAATGGGATACGATGGCTGCATTGTCCCAGTAGGGCAAGACTCATGCACCGAGGCGGGGACACAGTGCCTCTTAACTCTCTGAAATGGGTTCAGGGATATTCCACCTCAATTCTTTCTCATCTTAGACAGTAGTAATGAGTAAACACCAGAATGACAATTATGTGAGCTCTCAGTGCTTTTTATTCTACCATAATATTATAAAGATTTTCATGGCTTTTATAATATCTTTTTATAAAGATATTAGTTTACACTATCTGAACTGGCATACTTTACAATAGATGAGTAAAATGAAATATATACACGTTTTTTTCACCTCATCCTATAATAGTATTTTTTTTTATGTAGGTGTCACGTTGTAATCTTTATTCATTAAAAGATTTTTTTTATTTACACTCGACATACAATATATTAGTTTCAGGTGTACAACATAGTGATTAGACATTTATATAACTTAGAAAGTGATCACCCCAATAAGTCTAGTACTCACCTGATACCATACACAGTTGTTACCATATTATTGACTGTATTCCCTGTGCTGTACTTTACATCCCTGTGACTGTTTTTATAACTGGCAATTTGTACATCTTAATTCCTTCCCCTTTTTTCAACCCACACCCCACCCCACCCCCAATCTGGCAACCATCAATTTGTTCTCTGTATCTATGGGTTTGTTTCTGTTTCATTTATTTATTTTATTTTTTAGATTCCACATTTAAGTAGAATCATATAATATTTGTCTTTCTCTGTCTGATTTATTTCACTTAGCATAATTCCCTCTGGGTCCATCCAGGTTGCTGCAAATAGCAAGATTTTATTCTTTTTTATGGCTGAGTAATATTCCATTGTATATATGTACCACATCTTTTTTATCCGTCTGTTGATGGACACTTAGGTTGTTTCCATATCTTGGCTATTGTAAATAATGCTGCATTGAAAATAGGTATGTCTGTATCTTTTCAAATTAGTGTTTTGGATTTCTTTGTATAAATACCCTGAAGTGGAATTGCTGGGTTACAAGGTGGTTCTATTTTTAATTTTTTGAGGAACCTCCAAACTGTTTTCCATAGTGGCTGCACCAATTTGCAATCCCACCAACAAATGCACGAGGCCTCCCATTTTTCCATGTCCTCAACATTTGTTTGTTGATTTATTAATTATAAACATTCTGACAAGTGTGAGCTGATATCTCATTGTAGTTTTCATTTGCATTTCCCTGATTATTAGTGAAATTGAGCATCTTTTTATGTGTCTATTGACCATCTGTATGTCGTCTTCTGGAGAAATGTCTATCCAGATCCTCGACCCAGTTTTTAATTGGACTGTTTAATTTTTTGGTGTTAAGTTATATGAGTTCCTTATATATTTTGCATATTAACCCCTTATCATAGATATATGATGAATATCTTTTCCCGTTCAGTAGGTTGTCTTTTCATTTTATTGACGGTTTACTTTGCTGTGCAAAAACTTTTTAGTTTAATGTAGTCCCATTTGCTTATTTTTTCTTTTGTTTCCCTTGCCTGAGGCGATATATCAGAAAAAATACTACAATACTAAAAACAATGTCAGAGAGCAGTAAGCCGATGTTTTCTTCTAAGAGTTTTATGGTTTCAGGTCTTACATTTAAGTCTTAAATCCAGTTTGAGTTTATTCTTGTATATCATGTGAGAAGATGGTCTGGTTTCATTTTTTGCTTGTATTTATCGAATAGACTGTCTTTTTCCAATTGTATATTCTTGCCTCCTTTGTTATAGATTAATTGATCATACAGGCGTGGGTTTATTTCTTGACTCTATTCTGTTTCATTGATTTGTGTCTCTTTTTATGCCAGTGCCACACCCTTTTTATGCTATAGTCTTGTAGTATAGTTTGATATCAGGTAGTGTGATACCTCCAACTTTGTTCTGCTTTCTCAAGATTGCTGTGGCTATTTAGGGTCTTTTGTGGTTCCATATAAATTTTAGGATTATTTTCCCTAGTTCTATGAAAAATGCCATTGGTATTTTGATAGGGATTACACTGAACCTATGGATTGCTTTGAATAGTATGGATATTTATAATGTCAGTTCTTCCTATCCATGAGCATGATACATGCTTTCATTTATTTGTGTCGTCTTCAGTTTCTTCAGTGTCTTATAATTTTGCAAGTACAGGTCTTTTACCTCCTTGGTTAAATTTATTCCTAGGTATTATATCTTATTTTTTTTATTCAATTCTAAATGAGTTGTTTTCTTAATTTCTCTGATAGTTCATTATTGGTGTATAAAAGTGCAACTGATTTCTGAATATTCATTTTGTATCCTGCTACTTTACTGAATTCATTTATCAGTTCGAATAGTTTTTTTGTGGAATCTTTAGGGTTCTCTATATAGTATCATCTCATCTGCAAATAATGACAGCTTTATAATACTTCTTTCCTTTCAATTTGGATGCCTTTTGTTTATTGTCTGATTGCTGTAGCTAGGACTTCGAATACTATGTTGAATAAAAGTGGTGAAAGTGGACATCCTTGTCTTGCTCCTGATCTTAAAGAAAAAGCTTTCAGCTTTTCACTGTTGAATATGTTGTTAGCTGTGGGTTTGGCCTTTATTATACTGAGATTTGTTCCCGCTATCACTTTGCTGAGAGTTTTTATTATAAATGGATGCTGGATTTTGTCAAATACTGTTTCTGCATCTGTTGATAGGATAATACGATTTTCATCCTTTTGTTTATGTGATGTATCACATTAATCGATTTGCGGATATTGAATCAACCTTGCATCTCAGGAATAAATCCCACTTGATCATGGTGTATGATCTTTTAATGTGTTGCTGAATTCGGTTTGCTAATATTTTATTGAGGGTTTATGCATTTATATTCATCAGGGATATTAGCTTATTATATTTCTTTTAGTAACGCCTTTGTCTGGTTTTGGTGTCAGAGTTATGGGGGCCTTGTAACATGAGCTTGGGATCCTTCCGTCCTCTTTAATCTTTTTGAATAGTTTGAGGAGGATAGGTATTATTTCTTATTTAAATGTTTGGTAAAATTCACCTGTGAAACCATTTGGTCCATTTGTATGTTGGGGTTTTTTTTGATTAATGATTCAGATTTGTTAGTAGTTAGTAGTCTGTTCAGATTTTCTGTTTCTTCTTGAGTCACTCTTAGAAAATTGCATGTTTCTAGGAATTTATTCATTTCTTCCATGTTGTCCATTTTGTTGGCATATAATTGTTTGTAGTATTTTCTTATAATCCTTTGTGTCTTTCTGGTGTCAGTTGTCACTTCTTTCTCATTTCTGATTTTATTTGGACCCTCTTTTTTCTTGTTGAGTCTGGTTAAATGTTTGTCAACTTTGTTTATCTCTTCAGAGAACCAGCTCTTGGTTTCATTGATCTTTTGTTTTGCTTTTTTAGACTCTTTCATTTCCACTCTGATCTTTATTATTTCCTTCCTTCCATTCACTTTGGGGTTAGATTGTTTATTAGATTATTAATAGATAATTACAGGAAAGCCTGTAGTGCTATGAATTTCCCTCTTAGAACTGCTTTGGTTGTGTCTCATAGATGTTGGATCATTGTATTTTCACTTAATTTGTCTCAAGGTGTCTTTTTATTTCTTCCTTGATCTCATTGTTGACCCATTTATTGTTTAATAGCTTGTTATTTGTCCTCCACGTGTTTGTGTGTCTTTCAATTTTCTAGTAATTGATTTCTAGTTTCATACCAATATGATCAGAGAAGATGCTTGATATGATTTCAAACTTCTGAAATTTATTGAGACTTGTTTTATGGCCCAACATGTTATCTACTCTGGCAGAAGTGGTCCATGTGCTCTTCAAACGAATGTATATTATGCTGCTTTTAGGGTAAATGTCCTAAACATTTCAATTAAATCCATCTGGTCGAAATGTCATTTATGGCCACTGTTTCATTATTTTCCTTCTGGATGATCTATCCATTGATGTCAATGGGGTGTTCAAGTTTTCTACTGTGACTGTATTACTATCGATCTCTCCCTTTATGTCTGTCAACACTTGCTCTATATATTTAGGTGATCCTATATTGGGTGTGTAAATGTTTACAAGAGTTATATCCTCCTGTTGGACACATCACTTTATCGTTGCGAAATGTTCTTCTTTGCCTCCTGTTACAGCCTTTGTTTTAAAGTCTATTTTTGAATTAACTTTCTCCATCCCTTTACTTTCAATCTATGTGTGTTTGGATCTGAAGTGGGTTTCTTGTAGGCATCATATGAATGGGTCTTGTTTTCTTATCCATTCAGCCACCCTATGTCTTGATTGAAGCATTTAGTCCTTTTACATTTAAAATAATTATTGATAGGTATGTAGGTATTGCCATTTTATTAATTTGTTTTCTGATTGTTTTTATAGTTTTTTTTTCTGTTTCTGTTTTATTCTCTTAGTGTCTTCTCTTGTATGTTGATGACTTTCTGTGCTGTTGCGTTTGGATTTCTTTCTTTTTCTTTCTTGTATATCTTTTGTAGATTTTTGCTTTATTGTTACCATGTGCTTCCTATATACCAAGCTATGTTTATACCAGTCTATTTTAAGTTGATGGTTATTTAAGCTCAAACACATTCTAAAATCTCAACCATTTTTACTGGCCACCTCCACATTCATGTTTGTGTCATTTTTTTTCCTTGTGTGTGTTTCTTTTTTTTTTTTAAAGATTTTTATTGGGGAATTGGGGGGATGGGAACAGTGCTGGGGAATTGGGGGAAGGGGAACAGACAAGTTGCTGTCGTTTTGTTCTTCAGTCTAGTTGTGGAGGATGTTGCTTCACTGGCCCAAGTTGGCACCATCATTGCGCTCTTCCCGGGCGAGGCAGATCAGTCGCCGGCTTCTGGACGGCCGCTCACTGCGGCTGCTGGCCGCTCACGCTGGCTGCTGGCTACATACGGTAGCCCATGGCAACCCACTGCCACAGGGAGTGCAGCCTACGCCGTCGCCGGCGACTCATGGCAGCCCAGCTCCAGGTTGAGCTGTCGTTCAGCATCTTAGCTGTAGAGGGCAGTGTCACTGGCCCTCATATGTGGGATCCGAACCGGGGCCCTCTGGCATCCCAAGCGAGCTCTCAACCATCGCGCCACTCGGCCGGCCCCTTGTGTGTGTTTCTTAATTTGCTGTTGTAATTACACATAATCTTCCTACTTTTGCCTTTAACCTTTGTACTAGGTTTATAGTTGGTTGATCCACTGCTTTTATTATTTGTTTGCTTTTGTCACTGAGAATTTTTTTCTTTGGTATGTTTTCTTATTCATATGTTTGATTTTTTTTTTTTTTTTAGAGACGTTCCTTTAGCTTTTCATGTAATATTGGTTTGGTCGTTTTGTCTTGTCTGGGAAACTCTTTATCTCTACTTCAATTCTAAATGATTGCTTTGCTGGGTAGAGTAACCTTAGTTGTAGGTCCTTCCTTTTCATCATGTTGAATATTTTGTGCCAACTCCTTCTGGCCTGCAAAGTTTCTGTTGAGAAATCAGCTGTCATTCTTATGAAAGCTCCTTTGTAGGTAACTAACTGCTTTTCTTTTGCTTCTTTTAAGATTCTCTCTTTGTCTTTAGCCTTTTCCATTTTAATTATATTGTGTTTTGGTGTGGGCTTCTTTGGGTTCTTCTTGTTTGGGACTTTCTACACCTCCTGGCCTTGTATGTCTGCTTCCTTCACCAGGTTAGGGAAGTTTTCTGTGACTATTTCTTCACATACCTTTTCAGTCCCTTGCTCTCTCTTCTTCTTCTGGTACCCCAGTGATGTGAGTGTTGTTACACTTAATGTTGTCCCAGAGGTCCTTTAAACTGTCCTTTTTTTAAAATTCTTTTTTCTTTTTGCTATTCCAATTGGGTGTTTTCCGCCACCTTTTCTTCCAGATCGTTGATTTGATCCTCTGCTTCATCTACCCTGCTGTTGATTCCATCTAATGTATTCTTTATTTCAGTTACTGTTGGTTTCCTATCTGATGGGTTCTTTTTTATGGTTTGCATCTCTTTGTGCAAGTTCTCACTGAGTTCATCTATTCTTTCCCTGCGTTCCTTGAGCATCATTTTAACCAGTATTTGAACTCTGCATCTGGTAGATTGCTTTCCTCCATTTTGTTTAGTTCTTTTTTTGGAGTTTTGTCCTATTCTTTCATTTGGAACATATTTCTTTGTCTCCTCATTTTGGCTGCCTCTCTGTGTTTGTTTCTATGTATTAGGTAGATCTGCTATGTCTCCCAGTCTTGGCATAGTGGCCTTATGTAGTAGGTGTCCTGTGTGGCCCAGTGACACAGACTCCCTGGTCACCTGACCATGGTGCTCCATGGGTGCCTTGTGTGGGTTGTGTGTGCCCCCTCCTATTGTAGCTCAGCCTTGATTCTCTTGGCACATCAATGGGTGGGATTGACCCTCGGGCCGACTGGCTGTGAGGACTGACTGTGACTAGAGTGGATGGGCTGTTGTATGGGGGTTGACCCCCATGGGCCGTGAATCCTTTAGTGGGGCTCTGGTGCCTGCTGAGTTAACCCTTTGGTTGTGTTCTCTGTAGAGCTTGTTGGGTAGAGCTCTGATATGATCTGAAGCTGGCCACTAGGTGTGTTGGTTCTGCAGCCCACCTAGTAGCTGACCTTGGCATGCAGTGTCATGCCATTGTCAGCTGCTGCCTATGTCTGGCCCGTGACCACCTTGTAGTAGCTACAAAGTGATCAGCACAGTTGCTAGCTGCCTGTGCTGGGCTTGGAGGTGCCCAGGAGAGACTGTGAACTGAGGCTGGCTACCACTAGTGCCGGGCTTGGGGCCACTTATGAAGAAGTATGGGGAATGCTGAGACCAGCTACTGCTTGTTTGGGGTTTGAGGATTTTTGAGAGATTTTAGGAAATTCTGCAGCACAGGCCGAGTCTGTTCGCTACTGTGGAAAATCCGCTAAAAGAAGTTTGGGCTCACAGCTCAGGTGGGGTGGGGTCTCAGGGAATCATAAGGTTGGGATGAACAATGTTAGGTTAATGGAGAGTTCAGATTTGGCGCTTGTCTGCATCTACTGTCTGGGTAGGGGAAGGACTCAACAAAGGAATAATGGCACTTACCAGCACTTCTGAACAGACAGTTGTGAGAGCTATCCCAATCCCTGCCCCTCCAACCCTTGCCCTGAAGCTAGTCAATTCAGTTACTCCCTGTATGTCCCTGGTGCTTTTTGAGCTGCTGCTCTGCTCTGGAACGCTGAGTGAGTGATTTTGTGAGCTGTGAGTCTATGCTTGGGCCCTTTAAGATCTGTGGCATCTTTATTTCTAGCAGCCTGTTGTCTTTCTCAGTCACAATCTGCGCTGGTGTTCATAGATGTTATGGGGACTTATCTTCCTGACCCTGGTGTCCTGGGCTGGGTAGCCTAGTGTGGTGCTGGGACCCCTCACTTCTCAGGGGATACTTCTGTAGCCAAGATGCCCCTCCTGATACTTAACCATCACATGTGGGTGTGGGACCAGCTCACTCATTGTCTGCGCCCTTCCTGCCAGTCTCAGCATGACTTCTTCTTTATATTCTTAGTTATAGAACTTCTGATCAACTAGTCTTCAGGTGGTTTTCAAGGGTGGTGGTTCTATAATTTAGTTCTAATTTTGATATTGTGGGAGGAGGTGAGCACAGCATCTGCCTGCTCTGCCTCCTTGACCTGGAATCTTTCTATAATAGTATTTGTTGAATGTTAGATAATAGAATTATGATGGATAAAAAGGTTTTTTTAGAGAGAGAGAAAAGAAGAAAAGGCTTCCAGATTAAACTAATACTTTTCCGCAAAGTTAATTCTCTCTGTACTGAATTTTAAAGGCATATTGAGGGAAGGGAGAGTATTTTATCAGTTTGTAGTCTTTTCAGGTCTTTTAAGAAACTGCATGAAAAAGTATTAATTCACTGTGGACTAACATGGAATTTGTTTTGTTGCATGGCCTGGTTTGCGGTGGAATTCACATCAGAGAGTAAGTTCCAATCCTTTTTTTCTTATTTTCTTTAATACATTTGCTTTGTATAGTATCACTAGTTGTAAACAGTGTTAACCTGAGATATGAGAGTCTGGGCAAAGCCAATGTAGGCATTTTTAATGTTTTGGAGACTTTGGACGAAATTATGAATTAAATATGTGAAATGTTTGGTTTTCATTTGTGTCTAGGTTTTCAGTATGTTTTTGGAGACTCTTGTAGATTTTATAATAATTCATAAGGATGACTTGCAAGACTGGCTTTTTGTTCTTCTCACACAATTACTTAAGAAAATGGGAGCAGATTTACTTGGATCTGTGCAAGCAAAAGTTCAGAAGGCTCTAGATGTCACAAGGTAAGTGTTTTTCCCAGCTTTTCATATATAATTGGCATACGACACTGTGTAACTTCAAAGTGTAAAACGTGATGATTTGATACACCTATATACTGATTATCGCGGTTAGTCAACACTTTCTTCACCTCATATAATTATCATTTTTTGTGGTGGTGGTTGAGAACATCTAAGATCTATTCTCTTTAAAACCTTTCAAGTGTAAAATACAGTATTGTTAACTGTATTATAATTGGAAGTTTGTACCCGTTGACCAACATCTCCCCATTTCCTTTACCCCCTAACCACTGGCAACCACCATTCTGTTCTCTGTTTCTATGGGTTTGGCTTTTTTTTTTTTTTTTGAGATTCCACATGTAAGTCAGAATTAGGGAACGTTCGTATATACCAGTATAGCATTGGCGACAAGGGCTAGGGTGATTCAGCTGATAATAAATGAATGAAGTAGCTAGGAGGGAGGGTTAATTCATACAATAAGCTGGAGGTGTGTGGTCAGTTGTGACCATGTTGGAACGTGTGTCCAGTGGTAGTAGACTTTTCAAGAAAGGCCAGAAATGTGGATTAAGGCAACACATTTGAGCTTTGTTTTTTGGGGTTTTTTTAGACTGCGAAAGCCAAATAAAACATTTGTGAGCCGGACTTGGCCTGTAGGTTGCTTGCTTAATTTAGGTGAATTTATGAATGACAAGATTCATTTCAGATTTTCAGGGATGGCGGGAATATTACAATTACATTCCTCAATGTTGGTGGTTAAGGAAAACAGTTATTCCCTTCCTGTTAATTTTCCTGGATACCTCTTTCCTTTAGGAATCCTGTTCTCAGTAGAGTTGGCCTGAGTTTCTAAAGCATGTTTATCATTCTTTTTTCCTCAGCAGCTGAGATGTATAGCTGCTTAAACTTATCTGGGATTAGTAAGTGAGTATCTAGGAGCTCAGTGTTGGCTGAGGGCTGTTCCTCAAGTAATAGACCCGATTACAGATCTGCCTCAGTTTCTTTTCGCTGTACCTAACAACAGGGCAGGGCACATTTCCAGGTTAAATACACCAGTTACCTACAGAAGAAAGGAGAGGCATTTTTGTGTGTGGTTTGTCAACCTTGTTTCTTTAATTTATAGCAAGTATGAGTCACTTAAATTATGTATACTGAAGTGTACTTTGCTTCCAGAAATGGTCCTCATAGCTTCCTGGATGCAAATAGATGTGGGGAAAAACAATGTGCTAATGGGTCAAGTTTACTTCTCTTATAATGCTGGTGATACTAGTACTTAGTATGTGCCGTGTACTTTATATTTTTCTTGTATTATTTCATTTAAATTTCAGGTCTGTCCTATGATTTTATAGTTTTGAACTGCATCCCTTTTCTTTTTACTACACTTTAATAGATTGAGAAAAGTCTCTAAAGAGAGTTTAAAGACTCAGCCTCAATGGTAATAGATGTTTGCTTTGTATTACCTTTCTTGTTAGTATGGAAGGTACGTCTGCATTATCCACATTGGCTCCATTATGCAATTTTACACATATTAGTAATCACAGCATTTTAAGAGACAGGGAAAGCATTGACTTGCATAAGCCAAGAGCCCTCATGGTTACTCAGTTGGACCAAAGATGTGAGACAACTAAACACATGGGATAAGTAACAGGTAAGAATGGAGCAGGAGAGGGGCTCCTGTGGCCCCCTATTGTGTGGCTGGATGGTGATGGTTCTTGCTGAGTACCCCACACGTGCTTCTTTTGTGGTGACTATACCAAATAGAGATCATAAGCAGCTACCCAGCTAGGGCCAAGGAGAACAATGCAGTTAGCTTAAGCAAGGTCAGCAGTGTAATCAGGATGTAAAAATAAGAATTGGGAATTGGCAGTGTTTTTTGTGTAAGCAATATTCAGAAAGATGGCTAGAGAGAAGATGAACAGATTCCTAGAAGACAGGTAGGAATCTCTTCCTTATTAGTTTATTGCTTAATATTAACTTTTAAAATAGTGTACTCAAAGTAAGTTTACCTGTATGTGTTTTGGGAGTTTTAACAAGACTTCCCATTTTCTAAATTTTTTTATATAATGGGTATTTAATATTTACATAAAGTTAAAAGTACTGCTTAAAAATGTGAACAGGCTTGCTTTTACATATATTAATCTACAACAGTATATTTTTTTGTTTTTTGTATGGTTTTACATTATTTTTTGTAATAATTTTTTCTTAAAAAACCAAGCACTTATTTCTTTCTTTAAACCTAGGGACTCCTTTCCATTTGATCAGCAATTTAACATTTTGATGAGATTTATTGTGGATCAAACTCAGACTCCTAACCTCAAGGTTGGTAACGATTTGTCATTACAATTCAACCTCTAGAAGTCAAATTCGATTAAAATTTCCTTTTTCCACATGGCTCATATTTGGCTGTTCTGAATACATTTGCTGTGATCATGCTTGTAACACCTCTTTGTGGACATGTTTTCATTTGTCTTGGTTCAGTACTCGGTAGAGAAATGGCTAGCTTATTGGCGTATGTTTAACTTTATTTTAAACTGTTAAAATGGTTGTATTATATTCCTATCAGCAATGTATCAGAGCTCCAGTCACTCCACATCTTTACCAACATTTGGGTATTATTACTCTGTCACAGTATTTGAACTAGAAAATTCTGAGGTGTTGAGATAGGTATCTTACTGGAATTTTTAAAAATATTAACATTCTAACAACATGAATATTACTTGTTACGTGTTGTTGTAAAGTCAAACCTATAATAACAGACTAAATTTGAGGGAGGATATGTGTTTATTTGAGTTAGGTCGTATAAATCATCTGTTATTTGATCATTAACTTTTGTTGGGGTTTTAGGATAGGCTCAATAAAAACCCTTTTCTAATGAGGTGAGAACCAATTGAGATAACAATGGAGAAGTTAAGGCAGAATATCAACCTGATTACTGAAAATGTCGCCTTGCAAGGCATGGCCTAGAATGTCTAAAAACCAGTCCTGACTGCAGAGCTGCCCTTGCCCTCCTGGTCAGTGGCAGAGCGGGAAATGCCATGTCTTCCTACCGTGCCTCCCATCACGTGAATGTCCTCAGCACACCTGAGGAGCAGAGCATGCCTTCTCGGCAGGCACGCTGCTCTGCAAACGCAGAGGATTGAGCTGCGTGCCACTCTCCTCTTCCCAAGCTTCCCTATCAGTCGTTTCATGCTTTCTGTCCTGATGGATGTGGTACCGTAAATCCAGGAGAAAGGAGGTGTCCCCTCAGTAGTATGTTCACTTTTCTCTGATCAAAGATTCATAAAGTGTACTTAACGTTTATCATTATTGGATCTTTCAGGTCAAAGTTGCAATCCTGAAGTACATTGAGTCTCTCGCCAGACAGATGGATCCAACAGACTTTGTAAATTCTAGTGAGACCAGGCTTGCTGTTTCTAGAATTATAACCTGGACAACAGAACCAAAGAGTTCGGATGTGAGAAAGGTATGTCCAAAAGAGCTGCGGTGCAGCTCTAATGACAGACCGTTCTTAGCATGTGTTAGAAAAAGCAATGTAGCTAGAAGCTTGCCAAGCGCCCCCACACCCGCATGCAAACCTCTGTCACTCCTTTTCTGTGAAAACCAAGACTTGGCTTTGGCCCCTTATCTTCTCTCTCCAGCTCCACCTTGTTCCAGTTTCTGAAGCTTAAAATGAAAATCTGAATTCTTGTATGATGGGTGTATGGTTTTCTTCGGCATCTATTTATGTTGTTCAATGTGAAAGCACTAGTAGTTTAGTATCTCTTACAGGTACATTGGTTTCCCTTGCATTAGTTTTGTGACATGTACTTTGAGGATAGAATTGCAGATTTATGGTTACCTAGCCATGATGTGCCTAATAGTAAAGTGTGGTTGAAAGTTTGCTAAGATACAATGAATTGTCGAGTTTAAAAATAGCACAAAAACTTGCAATTCTATGCCACACTTGGAGCACACTCTCTTTGACTTGGGGAGTGAGGTGGAGAGGTAAAATTCAGAGTTTTGAGACACCCTGATAACCAAGGTGGTGCTTTGATTTTCGGGGGTTTTTTTGTTTTGTTTTAAGCTGCTGAAGAGAAATACTTGCTCCTTACTTCTGAAATGGCACATTGAGAGGCACAGAACACAGGAGTGAGCACGGGTTACTGTTATTTCTATTACTAGGCAGTTTTCTGCCTCAGGACTATTGCGAAGATTATTTAATAAATGTAGAGCATTTAACCAATTCCTGACACATCATAAGTACAAAACAAGGATTCATTATTATTGTTTGTTGTTTCTATTATTCGTTTCCTGTCGGTGTCTTATTCTTCTACGCTTGAATTGCACACATGGCCATTATTCTTTCATGCTTGCATTTTTCCTGCTGTACTGTACTTCCTCCACAGCCACCCATACCAACATAGTCCTTTGGCTTTGGGGCAGAGTTGATAATGTCGACCACTTGGGTCTAGGCAGGGAAAAAGGAAAGGATGATTCCAAGGAATAGTTAGCAAGGTTGGTGTCTTTCAAAATGCAAATGCGCACATAGCGCCGTCTCTAGTAGAGTCAAGGAGGACTGAAGAAGCATCTGTGAGGCTGGTTTGTGTGGGTCGCAGTCCATGTACTTCTCTTATTCATTGTATAGTAATAAACTAAGTTGTTCAAGGTCAAAGGAACAAGGGCAAATCTTATTAAAGTACTTATTCAAAATTTTTGTTCTAATATTAACTAAGGTTTTTGATTCATGATCCTTTAAAAAAATTTCTTAACATTTATTAAAGTGCATTTCACTGAACCTTTAATTTAACCATTAAGCCAGTTTGGATTAGGGAGGTACAGTGGGAGGTGATTGAATGATTTGGTTGGTTTGTAAGTCAGAAACAGATATTTCTGTTGTAATTTTCAAAATCACAAGATCAACCAATAAACACAAAAGCCTTAAGTGCAGCTTTCTATCTTTAATTGTAACACGTACATATGTGTGTGTCTATGTGAGTATGTGCTTTGTAGTTAAATGTTACTTAAGTGTTCCGTCCTGTGGGGCCAAAACATATTTTAGACTTCCCATTATAGTGATTAGGGCCTGCGTGGGAACAACTGACTTTGATCATAATGTCCACTTTCTCTGGACATGCATATTAAAGATGTGAACTAGGATGTATTGTCCTAGCTTTTCTGATCAGGATGCCACAGCAACTTTTTTCCTTGAGTTATCTAGCCTGGGGCTCCAAGACACTCACCTTATTTTAATACTAGCTTAAGTCAAATACAGTTGGAATATTAAATATATTGCCTGTAACCACAGGGTTCATTTGCTGTTTAATCTGCACAGTTTCAGTTACTTTGGATCACACAGAGCTTTTCGCAAAGCCTAGTCACCCCTGGCATTCTACTTCTGGTGCCCACCCTCACTTCCTCCCCATCTCTGTCCCCATCAGGAGGTCTGCTGAACACCTTACCTTCAGGCCAAGTTCAAACCCAGGTTCTAGGACATTACTGACCTTCAGAGGAATTTCAAAAGCTTCATATCAGTAGTTCTTAGTCCCGACTGTAATTAAAATCAACCTAGATACCTGGTCTCCAGCACAGGTAATTTGACTTAATTGGTATAGAGGAGAGCTTGGACATTGTTTTGTGTCTGATTGGGATTCCCTCCATTCTTGGCTGATTTTTAATGCACAAAGTTGAGACCCATTATTTGAGATGATTATCCTGGGGTTGAACCTCAAGACACACAGATTGCTGGTGTAGTCTTGGCCTTGGTTGCCACTAATTCTCTTGGTCCCCAGCCGAGGCCCTCATTATCTTCAGGGCTAGGCCTGGGCTTGCCAGTCCCTCGTGTCTTTCCCACCTTCCTACTTTTGCTCACCTTGTATGCCCAGCACCTAGCATAGTACCTGTAGGAACGAAGTAGGCACTTAATAAATATTTTGAGTGAATTAATAAATGATAAACATCCAAAGAAAAATGATGTAATTTCAAGTAACATTTTGAAGCCATTATTTCCAAAACCATAGTCTTGGAAGTTCCCCTCTTTTGGCTTCTGTATTAGTATTCTATTGTAGAACAAATTACTACAAACTTAGCAGCTTGAAACTACAGAAATTTATATCTCACAGTTTTGTGGCTCAGGACTCCAGCATGTGTTCTCTGGGTTCTCTGCTCAAGGTCCTACCAGGCTGAAGTCAAGGTGTCGTCTGAGTCTTCCATCTCCTCTGAGGCCTGAGCTTCTTCCAGCTCACAGGTTCTCCGCCAAATCCAGATAGTTCCTTACAGGTGCTGGGCTGAGGTGCCTGCTTTCTTGCCCACTGTCAACAAGGGGGCGTTCTCAGCTCATGGAGGCTACCTGTCCTCTATCACATGGCAGTTTGCCTCTTCAAAGCCAGCAGGAGAATACTGGAAGAAATAATGTCCAAAAACGTTTCAAATTTGATGGAAAACAGTAAGCTGCACATCTAAGCAGCCTAACAAGCTCCTAGTAGAATTTTTAAAAAGCTCCACGCCTAGATACATCATAGTGAAACAATTGAGAGTCAAAGACAGAGAGGATCCTGAAAGCAGCAAGAGTAAAGCAGCTCATCATATCCAAGAGAGCCTCGGTATGATAAACAGCTGGCTTTAATTACATCTGCAAATCCCTTCTGTCACATAACAATTACGATGTGGTGTCTCATCACATTCACAAGTCCCACTCACTCTAGGGGGCGGGAATCTTGGACCTTCTTAGTGTTGTGCCTACCAAGGCTTTGGTCTCTTTCAGTGGGTTGGCAGGAATCTTCCATAGTTATTAGGTAATTCCTTAGCTCTTACTTAAATAGGTTCAACTTAGCAGATGCATCTCCACTTTCTGGGAACCCTCTAGATTTTTTTTTTTTTTTTTTTATCATCAATGATGTCTGTGGCTCTGGATTGTCTGGCTTTCAGTTGTACACATGCATCCAGCACTGGCTAGGGAAGCACTGTGATTGATTCAAATAGGTGTGTTAATGTGCCGTATTCAAGTAAGTGTTCTTTTGCCCCATTCATACCACCCACAAACTATCCATTAGAAAAACTGCAGGTTAATCCTTCCTGGAGACAGAGTCACTTTTACTGAAATGCTCTGCTTTGATGCACCATCCATTGTACTTGTATATAAATATAGATGCTGCTGTAAGTAATGCAGCTGCCTTCCTCAGGAATTTGAGAGGTATTTGAAAGATTGTCTAAATGAATGTAGTACTTAAATAGATTAAAATATGAGTAGAATTTGTGATACCTATATTACTGTACCCTAAGAGCTGAAAGCATTAACACTTTAAAACTGTAAAAAGGCCATTTTTATCTGGATAATTCAATGCACTAAAGATCCTCTAACCTAGCTCTTTTAAATAAATACATGTTTTGCCTCCTCTTTCATTTGCAGAGTTATTAAAAGATGTACCAGATAAATCTTGGAAAACCTTAGTGATTTAAAAGCACTTTGTGATCGTGAACCAAGTTCTGTTGTTGTCCTTTTTAATTTCTTAAAAGTAGAATGAGGTTATACTGTAAATACTAGAAGAGCCTTCAGTCTGAAATCTATGCAGTAAACTTTCACATTGGCCCCATCCCTGGGGAATATTCAGACGGTCCTATTTGGGAAGGCACTTCAGAAACATTTTAAGCTGACATAGCTCTGATTTTTTTACTTTAGCATTTTTAATATTTTGTTTCCCTTTTTATCTTAGTGTGTTGGGGTGTTTCATATTGGCGAGGGAGAGGTGTTTAAAAATTTAAGATGTTTTGGGCCGGCCGAGTGGCGCGATGGTTAAGAACTGGCTTGGGACGCCAGAGGGCCCCAGTTCGGATCCCACATATGAGGGCCAGTGACACTGCCCTCTACAGCTAAGATGCTGAACAACAGCTCAACCTGGAGCTGGGCTGCCATGAGTCACCAGCGACAGCGTAGGCTGCAGCCCCTGATGCAGTGGGTTGCCATGGGCTACTGTGTGTAGCCAGCAGCCAGCGTGAGCGGCCAGCAGCTGCAGTGAGCGGCTGTCCAGAAGCCGGCGACTGATCTGCCTCGCCCGGGAAGAGCGCAATGATGGAGCCAACTTGGGCCAGTGAAGCAACGTCCTCCACAGCTAGGCTGAGGAGCAAAACGACAGCAGCTTGTCTGTTCCCCTTCCCCCGATTCCCCAGCACTGTTCCCATCCCCCCAATTCCCCAATAAAAATCTTTAAAAAAAAAAATTTAAGATGTTTTGAAAAGGAGGGAAGAAGAGCAATGGAAACCGGAACACAAGCCAGTCGCTGCTGCGCTTATCAGGCTGCGACTGAAGGGAATTTGCTGTAGGCATGATGGGGAGGACTAACTGCAATAAAGAATGTAAAACCGTAACTAAGTTTTTTTTCATTTGCTGTTAGCTCCCCCTGTCGTTACTTGAGGGTTGTTTTGGTTTTGCTGCTGCTTTTGGTGGAATGAATTGAAAACAAAATTTTTTCCAGAATCAGGAAAGTGTTTTCCTATCAATCAAAAGGAATGTGGTAATGTCGTTAGAATTGTGAGTGATGAACAGTGATGTGTTCATATTTTAGGGTTCTGAATCCCTGTATGTTTGCGCAGCATATGTGGTTCTCTGGCATTTAGCATCTACTTCGCCAGGTGAAATAACAGATTTAGCCGCAACATGTTGTTTTGAGAAATGTGGGAATTGAAGGCACGGCAAAGGAACCTAGAAAGTGTAAAGATGCTGTTGGCTGGAGTAGGAAAAGGATATTAATAGCCTTCAAAAGTTGACATTTCAAAAATGAAAAATTTTTTAATCTGATTTTACACAGGCAGCATGGCCTGCGAAAATATAACGGCTTTACCATCAAATGAGATTTGGATCTCAGCTTAATTATGGCTGCCCCTTTCAGGTCTCATGTTGACCTCTTTGATCTCCCGTTTCATCACATAGAGCAAGAATACTAAAACTTCTGGGGAAGATTATGATTACTAATGACATAGCAAATGATTGAGGTTTAAAACTGGTAATAACTTATTATTTTTATTATTCTTAGCTTTTAGATTATATATATGTACATGATTTTATAAAATAAGCCAGATATTTTTACAGCTTGCAAATAACCGCAGTTTTGGCACTTGCTTCTTCTGTCTGATTAAATCCTACCGCCTTTCCTGTTTGTCAGTCCCCGCTTCAGTGTAGTCGAGTAGGTGAGGATTTGCCCACTAGGTCAGCTTCAACCTGCTCTGGGCTTGGAGAAGGAAACTTGGAAGAAAATTGTAAACAGGTAGATTGAAAACTGTGTACTAATTTGAAAAAAGATACTTTGTGGTTTGCATTTTAGATTATTAATACTGATTACCCTTGTGAAAACACCTAAAATTAATACAATTCTATTTGAGCGTGTGTGTGGGAGGGGAGTGGGGGATGCTGTGTAAATGTTTGTGTTTTGGTATGTTTTATGATTAACACCCTACCCAAAGAAATAGCCTTGTTGAGTGTAGATCTCTATCATATTTTAATGGAATAGTAAAGGACAGATACTAAATGAGAAATGTCTGAGGGTTTTGAAATACCTTCTCTTTGGTGATTTTGTAAAGCATTATTTTCATGACAATCTGAAGGGAACAGTAATATATGCTTAATAACTTAGAAAACTCCTTTTCCCTCCAAATTTTAAGTTTTCCCTGATTAATACCAGCACTGAAACATTTGTCAGAGCTTTATTATCTCCTATTTGGAAGAAGTCTTCTGCTGTAAGGTACACAGTATTGAAGGCATTTGACAACCCTGGCAGTTCTTTTCAAACAGTAAGCAGTGACCTTTGAAGAACCTTTTACACACACACACACACACACACACACACACACACCCATATTCTACTGTAGGGGTGTGAGTGGGAATCATTTCCTTTTAAGTTGTTATTTGATATTTAAAATATATTGCACTAGAGTTGTCCATCAGAAAGTCAGCAACACTCTTGAGTTTTTGTGTGGCTGATAGTGGAAACAGGAGTTACTCATTTTGACCATGAGCTAAGCCCCAGGCTTTTCTAATGAACCTAACCCATTCCCATATTTGGAATTATTCCATTTCTGGAACTTGAATCTCATTAGAAAAAGATTTTACTATGAAAACAGCTTTAAGCCAAAGGGTGACTTTTGAAACCTGTATAAAATCATACGCATTTTATATTTTGGAATATGTAAAACTAAACCATATTCATTTATATGTATAATTCACATATATGTACCATCTGTCCAACTAGTCATATTTTCAAAATTTCCTGACTTTCTATTTGATTTCTTATCAAAATTCAACTTTAGGATTATTGAGAGAGGGTTCTTTAGTGGGTCAGAAGTTAGTCCACTGTACTTTCTTTTCCCATATGACTAAAAATCACTAATATAAAGTAGCCATGAATTAGCAGAATTTCTAGGCCTATCATCTTGCAGCCTTCCTGTTCCTAAAAGATCCCACTAATTTTATAATTTGCTTCATGAGAAACCTCAAGTAAGTTTGTAGTATTAGATGTCATGTCACTCTGGGAAGAAATATGATCTTTTAAAGTAAAGACAGAGAGGCCCATTTCAAATGAAAACATACTATTCAAAAATATGATACATTTTATAATTTCAAATGTCATTTTCAGTCAACAACAAAAAAAAAGTGCCTAAATTTTCTTACTAAATTAGCAACATTGATTTCCTACCCCTGCTAAAACTCAAGTCTGCTTCTTTCTTTCTCTTTGAAGTACAGTTTTTTTCTGCATGCATTTTTCTAACATCTAATAAAATATTTTTTTTAAATGCACAGGTTACTTTGCATGATTTTGAAATTTTCTCTTATACAGATGTTTAAATCATGTTAGCAGTATATTAAATTGGTGGTGAAATAAATTCCTCCAGATAATGATTTATTAAAAATGTTTCAGTAATGGAATATAGAAGTGTATATTTTAGTACAATTATAGTAATGATTTTTGCTTGTCATGAAAGCACTCTGGCCTATTGTGATTTAATTTGGATAGAAATGACTATATTTGGCGGTCAGGAGAAAAAAGAGATATTTTTGCCCAATGCTGTGTGTAATGAATGCTTTTGACATGTTAAAAAAGTAATTTTTGATCACTCTGTAAAAAAATTTTACTGATATTTTAAAATTCATAATTAATTTTTATTTTTGGTTAAACACATTTGGATCTTTGGAGTTTTTTTCCTCCTTCGCCAGGCATAAATAGTAGTTTTATCTTAACTGGACCTAGAATTAATTTCACAGTGTAAAAGCACTGAAATATTTTGTGATACCTATTTCCAAACAATTTCTCAGCAGATATGTTTTTTGTAATATTGTATATCATGAGAAAAATATTCACAATAATTACTGCAATCCTAAAAATTGCAGTCTTTGTAAAAATAAAAGTATGCTTTTAGTCAAAAGATTTTCATAATGTGTTTTCCTTTCTTTTGACTCTTAGAAATTTGTAAGAAATGCTGGTTAGTATTTACTAAAATTTTCTTTTGGCGTAGTTTTTCTAAATTAAACCCTCGTAACTAATTCCTCGGGCATCGTTTTTGAGCTCAGAATGCCTGCTACTGCACTAGTTCCATAGAAAGCACTTAGCTTGCTGGAGAAGTCCACAAGTCTCATTTGACTACTATTGCTTCAGCTAATTGCTTTTTTCCACCTTGCTGCTATAGTGATTACAAGCAGTTCTGCAGTATGTTGTCTCAATTAATAAAGAAAAGTAGAATGTTTTCTAAGAGGCAGAAGAATGAGTTTTTAATTTGTACCATGTAAATCTGCTTTTCTTTCCAAAGACTGTCTCTCTCCTCAATTCATAGGTATAAAAGTACGAATTTTTAAGATATTTAGGCTCTGTCTTTTTCTAGTATTTTTCTCAGTCACTAGGAGTGGGGTTGAGGAAAAGTGGTTTCTCAAGATAACCCCGTGGTAGCTTATTTAGAAAATTGTTCTTACCAGGATGCACTGGGAGCCCTGTCCAGTTACAGCTTCCTAGAATGAACAGTCTTAAGCTTTTAAATTATTTGATTGCTTCATTTATGTACTCACCTGCTTCATTCCCAGTGCTAGATGACACAGGAAATATTACAGGCATTTATTATTAAAGCGCTGTGGAAATCCACTGCCAGGGCATTAAAAGGCAACCAGGACTTACTTTCCAGGTTGATCCAGACTATAATTGATGATATAATTTTTTCCAGGTCCTTTTTATTTTTATTTATTTATTTTTTGTGTGTGTGAAGATGTCCTTTTACTATTTATTTTACTCATACAAAAATGTTTTCTTTTAAAAACAATTTTAGGGCCGGCCGAGTGGCTCAGTTGGTTAAGAGCACAAGCTCTGAGCAACAGGGTCACCGGTTCGATTCCCACATGGGCCAGTGAACTGTGCCCAAGCTGAGCTGCTGCTGAGCTGCCAGCAGGGGGCAGGATGGCTCAGCTGGTGAGAGCACGTGCTCCTAACAACAAAGTTGCCGCTTAGACTCCCACATGGGATGGTGGGCTATGCCCACCCGCAACTAAGATTGAACATGGCACCTTGAGCTGAGTGGCCATGAGCTGCGGAAGGGCGGCCAGATGGTGACTGGACTTGGAGCTGTGCTAGCTGTGCCCTCCACAACTAAGAATGAAGGACAACAACTTGGCTGTTTTCCTTCCTCAATTCTTCAACACTGTTTCCCTTCCCCAATTCCCCAATAAAATCTTTTTAAAAATAAAAAATAAAAACAAAAACAATTTTAATCAACATTTTGACCAGGATATGCTATTGTACATTCCATAAATTAATCATGTCATCTTTTTCTAGGCAGCGCAAATTGTGCTGATTTCTCTGTTTGAACTGAACACACCTGAATTTACCATGTTACTTGGTGCCTTGCCAAAAACATTCCAGGATGGTGCCACCAAACTCTTGCATAACCACCTCAAGAATTCCAGTAACACCAGTGTGGTGAGTGCCTCCGTCACAGTTGGTGCCTCTGTGGTGCGCATGACCTCTGTTTGCCCTTGTCTAGAGGATGCTCTGATAGAAGGGATGCTCCGATTGTTCTTTCAGTAGATGTGTGCATCTCGAGGATGCAGGCCATGTTTGATCCTGCCAGATTTCCAATGAATGAATGAGCCTGATATTTAAATGCGGCCTTTTTCTTAAGTTAGGTTGTTCAGTCAGTTAAATTTTTACATTTAGTCATTTATTAAACTTACTCTTTTTTCATACTGTAAAGATGCAAGTGCTCAGCTGTGTCTGTTACTCTAGCACAAGTGACATCAGTCATTCAGCTTCAGGAAGGCCTCTATGACAGGTATCCATTTTTGGTTTAATGTGCACTTAAAACTGGCCATAGTGATTCAGCAAAACAAATCACCCTGATTGTGCCATTTCTGCCCATTATTTACAATGGGTTAAAAGGCCAAGGGAGAAGTGCACCGTGCTCTGTATTTAGCCCTGGAGTCTTCATGCTTGTTCTGCTTTCACCCTAGGGCTCTCCCAGCAATACAATCGGCCGGACTCCTTCCCGACACCCCAGCAGCAGGACCAGCCCCCTGACCTCACCCACCAACTGTTCCCACGGGGGCCTGTCTCCAAGGTAATGCCATTTCAACAGAAGTGAAGAAACCAAAGTGCCCCAATATCTGTCTAGCCTATTTTTATGTTTTTAGACCAAGCTTAGTGCCCAAAAGTGTATGAGTATCAGGAGACCATGGGTTCTAGTCCTTACCCAAATCTTAACTACAGTCTTGGGCAGAGCGGTTACCATCTGCAGTGAAATGAGCAGTTTGTGCTGAATGGTCTCTGATATTCTTCTAGCTCTAAACATTCCCTAGTACCTTAGAGATTTTAAAACTAACAGTTACATTTAGTACTGTTTCCCATAGAAACATTTAGAAACTCTCTATAAGTGATGGGAGCACCTGAAGAAGGTATTTAGTCATCTACATAAACTCTTTCTAGTCTGTCCACGCATAGTCTGGGGTGGTTTTCCACCCCAGTGGCCATCCAAGCATAGTTTTATCATTATGGTCTCCTGTGTGAAGCACAGTGCCGCTCTGGAGGAGGGAGTAAGGCTCAAACTCTTGCGAACATTGATTGGCCTTTACGGAGTCTGAGGCAGTGTATGGAAAAGAGAAAAATGCTTTGTCTTGGGGTTTTTAGTTACCATTTCTCCATGTGGCCAGAGCCGTTAGCAGTATGCATCATGGCTCCTGTGACACGCTGGCGGGTGCTGGAGTCCCCCGTGGCTCCCATGACCCGCTGGCAGGTGCTGGAGTCCTTCGAGGCTCACTCAGAGTAGTGGCCCAACAGGCCGGACTTCATAGGAAAGAGCCAATGCCTGGACCTGTAGGGTCATACATGCTGTGTTGTTCCCAAGAAGTCCACATCTTTGGGACCACTGACAAGGGGCTGTATCTAACGGGTCTCTGTCCCTGAGATCTTAAAATTATAAGATAGTCCTGCAAGTATTCCATTTTCCCTGTAAGGGTTAGTACCTGTTTAGCAGGAAGATAATCAAAATGTAAGTGCCCTTAAATTTCGATTTTTAAATGATCAAGAGTCTATCAAACTTCTCTGTCCTTACCACAGAATTTCTCTTCAGTTACCCAGGTTATATAAATATTATGGACTATATCAAGTTTGTATTTCTATTGGTGAACAAAGTATTTTGTGTACTTATAATATCCTGCTGTTTATGGTACCTTAGGTTTAATCACCCTAAGGCCGCCTTCCCTCGTCCCCACCCCCCCACTATATTTAAGTAGAATAAAGTATGATATTAGGCCTCCAAATGTGGCTTGTGTTATCAGGATTCCACAGGCTATTCTAATGAGACAATTGACACCAGAAACTAATGAAAATATGTCTGATGTCCTTCAGGTGTGGCTGAGGCTCAGCCAACAATCTTTTTTTTATTTTATGTAAACATCTGTATTGGGTTGTCAGAAAAGTCATGACGTATTATTCTATGTTTTTCGTTGCAAAAATGCGTCACGACTTTTCCAACAACCCAATGAAGTATATGGTTTGTTTTAAATTACCAGGGTCCATTGTTGACAGTAAGATAAATCATAGAGTTCTCTTTCTTAGTGGGGAAGGATTTTATGGAAACCTTGTATTCTCTGTAAATTGTTGCTTTTACCTAGAAGTGATACTTGACAACATTAATTGGGAAATCTGTTCTTCCATAGTACACAGTTCATACTTCTTACCTTTTAGTTATTTCATTATTAGGGTGGCACATTCCTTAGGTAATAAGCAAAAGGTAAAACTCAAAATTCAGTATTTTATTATTATATGTACTGATAGTCTTAAGATTGGTGGGACCTGCTACCATAATTCATCAGAGCTAAGGATTAGCTAGATATTAATCTCATAGATCCCCAAATTATTAAAAATTTTAATTTTTCCAGGTCACCATTCATTCTTAGTTGGCCTGATTTTAATTTTTACTGTTAGGTTTACAGGTCAGTAGAAGAAATGGAGAGATTTATTTTCAATATTAGGAAGTCCAGGTGTAACCTAAATATTTTTCTGTTGAAAAATTCTTCTTTAGGGGTTTACTTAGTTATGTAGTTTCTTTCTTTTTTAAAACAATGTATCCTCAGTGCATAACTAGCCAGATCTCCTTAACCAACTTGAATTCCATAGGAGAAATGATTTTTCTCACAACTAAAACTGTCCAGAAGTAGGAAAAACTGCCTCGTATCACTGGAAACAGTCAAATAGGCTACTTACTTTCTACCAGGAAAATTATAAAAGCAATGAACTCTTGTACAAAATAGGAGAATGAACTAAATTATACCACATTCTGAGGAGGTGATACACAAGTTGTACCGTATATAATCTCAGCTATTTTCCTGAGCAGTGCTCTTAAAACGTTTATTTCCTGTGACCTGCCATTCTTTTGAGTCATCTTGACCATATGATAGTAGCTTTTCATTCTTAAGGAGAAAAGTTATTGCCAATTATTTGTTTTTAATCTAATTTTGAGTATCAAAATGAACTAGTATTTTTTTTGGTGGGGGGTAAAAATTCTACACTTGGATCATGGTGGTAATAAAGAAGTATTCTAAAATGATGGAAAAAATCTAATTTTGATTGTGTTTTTTAAAACAAATTACTGGTAAGGAAGTCATTTTTATCAACCTAATAGTATTAGAGAAGCCATAGCTAACAGGTTAAACTTTTGTGAAATAATCCATTAATTATTGTTTCTGTGGGAGGGAAGAATTACTGCTTATTCCCAGCTAATAAACAACTACTACTGAGTGTTTGAGAAGGAGATATAACCTGCAGTTTCTCATCATTGAACACCTATTCATATTTGGGCTCACTTTACCAAGTGCGATTTATGTTAAATGAAAAAATAGAGTTGCAAGAGACTCCAGAAATCCCAGGAAATCCCTGTAGGATAATTCCCCTTAAGATAGAACAGTATATGCAGTCCTCACTCCTGAGCTTGGCAAACATTTGGAGCAAAGTAACACTAACCAGATAACCTCTGTCACCCCTAGCGATAAAAGGCAATTTCAGGTAGAGGCTGCATTCATCCCATCAGGGGATCGAGGCGATCCATAGCATCAAGTGGGATTACCTGTGAGCTCCGGGGAGGTGGGGTACACCCTCCTTATTCTCCCCCTGTTCGCGGAGCTCCACTCTGAGGTGGTCCCATATTCCTCTTTTACCCCCTCCCCCAGCTCAATGGATGACTTCCAGACAGTCCTGAGGCCCTTCTGTACACAGCGACCTCTCATCATGACACTATTTTCATTACAGAATGGGACCACAGCTGTCCTCAGGTGGAGACTAGCTGTGTACCCACTGCTCTGAGAAGTGCAGTGAGTGCCAGCAACAGGCGGCGCCACTCTGTAGGAACGCTGTCGCTGATGCCAGACCACCCCGTGGCTCAGGTCACTTTTCCAGCCAGTCCAGCTCACCCCTTTCCCAGTGTCTCTGGTTCTTTTGACTTGAAACAGTTGTCAGAAAGCTCCGTCAGGGCCTCTGCAAGGCCAGATCACTTAGTGACACTTGTGAAGTGAAGAGGAGTATCTATCAGTGTTCTCAGATGACTTTTAGTTTTCAAATTAAGTGACAAGAGCAGAGGAATGAGAGTTTTGGTTCCCCTCTCTGAGCTGGCTAGCTGAGAGTTGGTGCTCTAGCCCTCTGGTGGTGCTGTCACTCTTTCAGAGGGACGCTTCTTGTGGCGGCCTCTGAACTCCCATCTGATTGGGAGTACGTGGGTGCTCTGGTCAGAATGGGACATTCTCTGATTCTTTCTGCTGTCGTCCTTTGGTCCTATTTGAATTAAAGCCCACAGTTCCTTCTTTGGGCATTATCTGAAACTGACATCCATATTTTTTTGTAAGTGCTTATAATGTCCTTCATACACACACACGCGCGCGCGCGCACACACACACGCACACATGCATGCTTCATGCTTACACTCAGAATCTCATGTGATTCAAAATTGTAAATGCATGATTCAGAGGGAAAGGAATAAGGCGATCTTATCAAGGACCAACCTGTAAAACAAAATCTGTTCTTTTTCTCTGTATGGTGAAGTATTAATTTTGATCCAGTGAATTTTGATAGAACTCTTTAAAGGAAAAAGGAGACTCTAAGACACATAGAACATAGTGTCTTGCTCTCCTTTTCCTCCTCCCTCCCCCCTTGCCTTTTTTTGTTTCTTTCTGATTTTCCTCTTTTGATCACTGCAGTCGGTTATGGGGTTGGAGTGCCGATGGGCTGTCGAAGCACCCACCTCCCTTTTCTCAGCCCAGCCCCATTCCCACCGCTCCCTCTCACAAGACTCTCAGGCGCTCTTACTCTCCCAGGTAACAAGGTACCTGTTAAACTTGTCTGAGGTGTCACAATATTATTGCACTTCCAAAGTCGACTTGGGTCTTTTGGAAAGCCTCTCAGCTGCCGCCAGTGTGGTCCCTGCTTTGGCTTAGACTCGCGGGAGGAGAGCCTTGGTGAGAAGCGTGAGCAGGTGTGTGAGCGTTGCCGAACCTCATGAGTACAGTTCTTACCATGTCACGAGGACAGATGACCATTTCATCGACTGACCGGATTCATGAACACCTACTATCGCAAGCCTTTCTGCCCAGGGCACAGCTCAGCCCCCAGAAGGTGCTCAGGCGATGCTGTGAAATCCGAGCAGGCAGCAGAGAGCAGTTCCCTTAGCATCCTTCTCAGGCGTGCAGGCCTTGCCCACTAAGAAGCCCATGAGACCTGCTCTTCCCAATGGCACCTGAAGCTCTCTGTCCTACTAGTGATGGTGCAGACTGGTTTCTTGCATAATGTACTGTCACCTGGTGATAGACTCAGGACACAGACCCAGAAAAGGAGCCCCGAGAAGGGTGTTCAGTTACATCTCAGTAAGGGTGCCCTGCCTCTAGGCAGGAGAGCTGATGGTGTCCTCACAAGCCCCTCGCTTAGCATGATAGTGTCCCGGAGTCCAGAGGAAGGAAGGGGGTGGGGCTCCCCTCAGATGTAAATCTGGTACAGAGTAGAGTCCGGTATTCCTACAGATACCTGTTTGAGGGCCTCTTAGGTGCTTTTTATAAAGGTCCAAAGACCAGAGAATCCCTTCCCTGAAGCCTGTAATTACATGAGCAAAGCAGAGGCCGTCCAGCTGTCTTCGTGCTGTGTAAGATGGGCCTGTTACCCTCTGTGACAGGACAAGGGTAAAAATAAAACAGTCTTACTTCTGAATGCTTCAGAGATAGCTTTTGTACAGATTTACATTCCTGCTTTGTATCCTCAACATAGTGAAGCTGTGCATAGTAAACATGTCAGCTAAATGTTTTAACAACATCTTTCTTTTGAAACTTTTACAGCACTAAAGTAACGTCTAAAGCATACAGAGAATGCTATAATGACTGTTTCTAGATACACAAGGTTAGGACAAGGGTACACCGACAATGAGATGTCCTTGTGCTGTCGTCAGTGATGTTGCTACACTTTCTTTTTCTTTTTTTTTTTTTTTTAAAGGCTACAGGCCTCAAAGTATAAGAACAGTTTACTGACTGTCTCCCTACACTGAGCTGTATGCCCCAGTGGGCACCAAGCTTCTCCTGGAGCCAGTCTTCTCATCTCGCCATCAGACTGCCCTCTGGAGAGCATCCTGTCCCCAGAATCATCTTTACATGTGTGCACAACAATGTAGCTAATGCTTAATGAACACCTGTGTCTTCTGTTAACCAGCAGTGGGAGAGAGGTGACTAGAAACTCCTACATTTAGAAAACTGGTGACATAAAACTAAAAGGAAATATCTATCTTTTTGCTCTCTACGCCAAAACCCTATTGATTTTCACAACAAAGAACAGTTACCCTTTTTCCATACCCTAGTATCTTTTCCCTGCAAAATGACAGAGAAAATCGCAAAATGACAAAAAGAAAATTTCAGAAGGCAAACTTCTGTCTCCAGTGCCTCTTTTTTTGGAGACCTGACCTCACCCCCTACCCACCTCCTGGCCATCTCCCTTCCCCCCTCACCACCACACACATACAATATGGAGCCTTTACAACTGGGCAGTCCTCCAGAGTTTTATTCTTCTTCAGTGTTGGGCGACATGGCCTGACCTCAGGTCAGATTACTGACAGATTGAGCAACTCTTCCTAATCTAAAGAATCCTAAGGAAACCTTTCTGGAGTCTAATCACAGTGTTTACAGGTGGCTGGGGCCTGGCCTTTAACCCAAAGGATTATGTCCTGGGGTCGTCCCTGAGCGTGGGGGCGGGTGACAGACTCAGCTTCTGAGTAAAGCTGCTGCATTTCTCCTCCTTCACCCTCATTTTGTGGCTTGTCTGGACTACAGTGTCTACAATTCCCTGATGACCACGTTCATGGGAGGTTTTTTTTCTCTGAAATGAGGGCTCATAGGTGTTGATTTGAAGAAAGACAAATCAAGCCGAAGAAATAGCAAAGAATGTGGTAGCACTGTGTCCTGTTAGAGGAGAACAGTGGTCTCTCTCACCTGGAGCTCACTGTTTTAGCTTCATACCAAGGAGATACTTCCAGCCTCAAGCTAGTGAGTCTAAAGGAAGCGTCACCACACTTAGCTGTTATGCACATGTACTCCTAAACTGGAAGTCTGAGTTGGTTTATTAGAGGAGGAGGAACATTAACTGGCAGAACCCTTTATTTTCTTATTTTAAAAAGAGGCTACTGTAATGGTAAAGTTATGTGAACTGAATTGAAATATTTTAAGAAAAGTTCAGGTTAAGAAAAATGAGATGAATTATGTGAAAGCTAATATCATCTGAAGCGACATATGGAAAATAATATTGTGACATCCCTTAAAAAGCTGAACGTTCCGCCAGACTTCCTCTTGTCCATCCCATCATTCTTTCGTGTTTTGTTTTTTATTTCCTTTTGCATGGGCTATGCTATTATTTTTGGTCGTTGTGATTCAAAGTACTTTAAGGCATCTTTTTACATCTTGTATACATATTTTTTGTTCGAGTCATACTCAGTCTTTATACATAAAAAAATAGTGTACTGGCCAGATGTATAAATGCTTTTGTTCATACATAAGCTGGTATTGTGGTGTTCAAGAAAGTGGGGTGAAGGGCAGGGAGCCCCTGTACTTCTCAGTCATACTTCTTCACATTAAAGGGATGTTCCTAATAAACAGATAACCTTACGAACTTAGAAGGGGTAAGTCTTGAATTCTGTTCAATTTTTTTTATTCCACCTTTTGTCAGTATATACCTGGAATTTTAGCTGTAGACGTGTTCAAGTTCACATTCCTTTTGGTTTGATGCCAGAGCCAATCTTTGAGTTGGCATATATTTTTGTGAACAATCCAGGCACAATTGGGGTGTGTATTTTCTTTTATCAGAAAAGAAAAATGGGCTCTGTTTTGCAATTTTAGGCAAATAGTTTCCATCTTTAAGAGTGAGTTTAGATCTTGTTCTCTAGCAGAACTTAACCAGGAAACACTTGGATCATTGGGATCCTCAAGCCAGCCTGGCTACTCCAAGTGAGAACTGTCCAAATTTTGTCCTGTTCATCTGCTCAACCTTTAAAAAAACAAAAGGTGTAGGGGAGGTGGCTTAGTAAATGTTGTTTGTCTGTAAGTGATAGGAGATGTAACTTCTTATGAGAGCGTACAGACATTGTGTTGTCTTAGGAAGGGCTCCTGCCAGTGGGTGCTTAATTTCAGTTTCTCTGAAGAACAGAAAGCTTGCTTTTCTTTAGTCCTTAGTAATGTCAAATGCTTACTTATACACACAGCCAGGGGTTCTCTGAGTGTCCCTAACTATCCTCAGTATAGCTCAAGACTTTCTGCAAGTTAAACTAGACCAACTCATCTGATCTCTACTTGAATACTTTCTTGAAACAAGTGACATGTAAACTAAGTTGCAGCTCTGACTTGCCCTTGGCTGACGGTTGCTTCCTATTTTGCTTTCTTTATTCTTGTATATCCATCCATGCTTTTCTTTGATATTCTTAGTGAGGGACAGTTGATGGTTTTTGTTCTTAGGATCTTTCGTCTGTTTCAGTGCATTTTCCAGACATCTAAAGGCCACTTATTGACATAGCACATTACACCAAAAGGCTATTTAAGGTCTTTGCTTCACTTCCTATTTTGCTATGCTACATGTCTAAAAGGACAGCAGCTGACATCATTTTTCTGTAAGGGACAAATATTTCTTGCTTTTTGAAGTGCCTTTAGACATCCATCTTCATAAGATCTCATCTTTATCAGACCTGCTTTCATTATAAAACTCCAAATATAAGCATCTGGAAGTTTGACATTTCCAGCAAGCTCCCAGGTTAGATGTCATGCAAGTTACACTCTCAGGAGCCCATTTGGTGAGGTGGATCTGACTTTGAGTTATCGGGTTGGCTTTCAAGTTTTTCAACATAGGTTGTTATTTGCAAGTTTCTGATACTGGTGAGCATAACTCAGGCTTGTGAGGTCGTTTGCTTTGCTACTCTGAAATTTGTTTGTAATACTAGCTTAATTTTGAAGTGCCCATTCCTCTTAATTTAAATTTGTACATTTGAGACCAGTAACAGCCAACGTACTTTTTTTCCATCTTCAAGATATGAAAGTTACTTTTCCACTTTCATTACCTTGCACATTCAGTCACCAGTTGTCACTCTTTGAGTTCTTGCATTCTCGTGGTTGTTTCCCATGGTTCTTATGAGTGCTGATGTCATGTGTTTAGGACTCAATTTGACAAAAAAAGATGTATGACTGTCAGTGGTGGATTGTCCAATGGCTGTGATAAAAGATGTATCCTTTTCATTCCAAGTCACTTGGAGAAACAAACCTCTAATTATGTCTTAACTTTGTAAATTACTGGAAGTAATTTATGCCCATACCTCAATTTTATGCATATGCCTCAATTTAAGAAAAACTATTTTTGATCTTTAGCATGCTGGACTATGATACCGAGAACCTGAACTCAGAAGAAATCTATAGTTCTTTGCGTGGAGTCACAGAAGCCATTGAAAAGTTTAGTTTTCGAAGCCAAGAGGATCTGAATGACCCAATTAAACGAGATGGCAAAAAGGAGTGTGATATTGTAAGTATCCCCAGGCTAATGGAGAACTGTATATCAATTAAGTGATAATTACTGATTCTTCTGAACACTGACCACTGTGATTACTGAGCTTCGTCATTATTTTTAGCCTGTAGTAGAAAGTGTTATTTTTAGAGGCCCAAGGCAATTTTGAGTGACCCTTGCTATCTTTGTGAAGAACGTTAAATACCTTTTTTTCTCATCTTGCTTTTCATTTATCCTGGACATATTTTTGTTCCTATGGTGTGATCAAAGTAGTGAGCCTGAACCAGACACCAGCATGGCTGTGTGGGAGCTCTAGTCTCGTGCAGAGTGGGGCAGAGAGGCGGGAAATGGTGGTGTATGGGAGGGCTCGGGGCACAGCACTAGGACCTGTGGCCCGGGCTTGGTGCTCAGGAAGGAGCTGTGCAGAGAATGATTTCCCCCTCGGAGCTGAAGCGTGAAGGTCAAGTGGGAAGGCTGTAGTGGTGGTGGTGGTGGGTGCCTGTGAGAAGGTGGGGAGGTGGGAGGGCCATGGTATGTATGATTTCCCACTGGGGATGGCAGAAGCGGAGAGAGTGGGCATGTTTGGGGGAGGTTTGGAGAAGAGGTTGCAGGGAGTGGCTCAGGAAGGGCTTGCACCAGGGCAATTTCCAGCCGGGGTCTTAACTTTACCCTGGGGACACTGGAGAGTCTTTGAAGGATTTTTAACCAGGGAAGCAGCATGGGCACACTTAACATTGTAGAAAGATTGCTGTCACTCAGATGGAGAATTACTGTGAGGAAGTTGGGTTGGGTGGGGAATAAGCAGAAATAAAGGTGTTACATCTCTGACTATGACTATTGAGAAGGTACCGGTGTAATTCAGTGAGAAAATATCATAGAAGGACGAAAGAAAATGCAGAAAAAAACTGCATGATAATCCTTTTGGAACAGTTTTGAATATATGTGACTTGCAGAACCTATGGGATATCCAAGCAAACATATCCATTTGGCCTGTGGATGTACCAGTCTGGAGTGTAGGCCAGCGATTTAGGCTGGAGATAGAGATTTGAGAGGCTTTGGCTATTTGATGATAACTAAAGAAAAGTGAGGGAAATCAACCAGGTAAAGGGTAAAGACAAAATCTGAAGAAGCATCAAATTATGAAAAAGATAGAAGAAAAAGAATTGGAAGAAAAGCTAACGATGCCAAGAGGGCGACCGGGAGAGTTTGGTGTCATAGAAGGTGAGGGAAACTTTCAGGAAGGAGATTCTCCCAGGGGCCATGCTGCGTATGGTCATGAGCATATCAGGGCAGCTACATAGAGGGAAAGGTTCCACTGGATTTTTTATTTTATTACTGTCTGAATTAAAATTCTGTGTTAACCTAAAATATGTAACACACATATTTATTCACTAATGTTTCGCTATAGAGCCAAGACCTTTTCTTTTAGATTGTGCCCGCCATTTGGACTTTTGTGTTCTTCTTAACTAAATTTTACACATGGTCACAGTCCACAATCTACAGATTTAGTTTCTTCCAGGAGGCCATTGGATTGTGTGAGCGTAGTTCAGAGCAGAACTGAAAGTGGGAAACATTCCAGGGGTTTGAGCAGTGACTCGGGTAACAAACTGGGGAGGGATGAGGGGTCGTTCAGGGGCTTTTCACATGGGAGAGACCTGACCCGTTTGAATGCTGATGGGGCCAGTTGAGAGAAAACTGTTGACTCTACAGGGGAGGGGAGTGAATGATTTGTGGCCCAGGTCCGTAAGGACATGGAAGAGGGATAAGATTTGGGCACTGGTGGAGAGAATTGAGAAGTTCAGACATTCAGAAATGAGGCTGTTCCCACTAAGGATGTGGACCCGAGAGGTGGAATCATAAGAGGGGAAATGAAAACTGAAGAGTTGAGGAGGTTTAAAACTCAACATCTTGGCCCTTGATGACCACATTTCTAGCTAAGAAGCTGAGGTAGATACAAAACTTCGTTAAATGTGAGACTCAGGAGCCAGCATTATCTCTTCTTAAGCTTGACAAGTAAACCCAGTCTAGTCAGAAGACAGAAGTCCATAAGGATGAATGTCTGATCCAGTGGAAAGATGGTTCACAAAAGCAGAGACAGAAACATTACACGTGGGAGAAAATCCATCCTTAGGAGTAATTATAGAAATACCACAGGACCTATATTTTACTTCTAAATTATTCTGCTTTGTTTCAAGTAGAATATTATACGAGTATAATATTGGCAGCATGGGAAATTAATACAGCTGTTCTACAGCTTAGTAAAATTATATTTAGCAAAAATGATTTTAAGTTTCATATCCTTTAATAATCTAGCTTTTGGCCATCAATGCTAAAATAACAAACTCAGCAAAAGGAAAAAAAGATATTATTTATCCAAGTAATTTATTTTAATATTATTTATAATGGCAAAACCCAAAAACATTAAAAAATCAATAGAAGGAGAAAAGTTGAGTAAATCTTATTAAAACACAAGTAGAAATAGTGGTGTGATTAAACATGGTTATAAAAACTTTATTTACTTGAGACCTGCTTATGCTACAAGGAAGGCAAAACATATGATGCACTGACTTCCACTCTATAAAATCTGCAAATAGATAAAGACTGGGGTAATATACAAAGTTTAAAAAGTAAGATGTTTTTCTCTTTTTGTTAAAAGTGATTAGAATTAGTATAGTTTTGCTTTTTAAAAAATGTCTTTAGTTTTTAAAACTCTCCCTTGAAAATTTTTCAATTATAATGCTAATAGGTTTTACTTTTAGAAGAGTTACAGAGAAAAAAATTAAAATCTATGAATTATCTTCTAAGAGAAAACCCCTGTTAAGTCTTACTTTGTTCATATCTATGCATGTGGTATATGTATTTTTATCTCAATAATTATAATATATTAGTATACAGACTTTTGGGCCTGTTGTTAACTAGATGCATTCCAGCAATTCCGCTAGGTACATATCGAAAAAAACTGAAAGAAGAGACTTGAACACGTATTTCTGTGCTAGTGGTCACAGGAGAATTATTTATAATAACCAAAAGGTGGAAGCAACCCAGTGTCCATCCACATAAAGAAACTTGATATGTACATGCAATGGAATATTACTCAGCCATGAAAAGAAATGTAATACTGATACATTTTACAACATGAATGGATCTTGAAAATATTATGCCACGTGAAAGAAGTCAGACACAGAAAGACAAGTACTGTATGCTCCCATTTACATGAGGCACCTGAGTAGTCACATTCACAGAGACAGAAAGTGGAATAGAGGAGGTTACCAGGGCTAGGAGGGGCAGGAATTATTATTTAATAAGTCCAGAGTTCTAGTTGGGAAAGATGAAAAAGTTTTTCCCAAAATATTATACAACATAGTGGTAACGGTTATACAACATTGTGAATAGACTTAATGTCACTGAATTGTACACTTAGGAATTATAAAGTGATTAAAATGATACATGTATATTTCATCACAATTTTAAAAAATGTGTAAGCACAAAATGAGAGAGATGTGTGTTGTCAGCAACACAATTAAAAGAATTGCCATAGGAATCAGTGCAGTCTGGCTGCCTGGAAATGTTTTCACTTGTTCTTTAGTCACATGTCTGGGGTGAGGAGACGGACAGTTTGGCTCTGGTCCCAGCATCAGCCCATATTTGTTATAGTGCCGCCCTGCAAAGGGTGCCACACAGGCTGTTGTGGCTCAGAAGAAAGGTCCCCTGAGAGTGAAGGCAGTCAGCAACATGACAAAATGGCCAGAGGACCAGGGGTTTAATTTGTTGAAAATGAGTCTCAGAATATATTAGAAAAAAATCTTTTTCAGAAAATAATACAGACCTGTTCTTTGACCCAGCATAAAGACCAACTCTGAGAGTCAGACACATCCAAAGAAGAATGAGCTGCCTAGTGGAAAATGAGTTCTCTATTGTTAGAGACAATTAGCCATTGTTTGACTCTCCACATGGTGGGAATAGATACAAAGAATTCTTGGACAGTTCGAGGGCTTTAGATCTTGTGGTGGTAATGGGGGAGCGTTGGTGTTGTATCAGGGCATCAGTGAGGAAACCCTTAGTGTTTGTAATGAAAGCGATAGGCTGCAGTGTTGGCACACGAGGCTCCTGAGGAACTGGGGCTGTGAGGTATGCAGCCTTCGTTCTCAAGGGACTAAAGATTTCATGTCATCAGTCTCTTTAAAAATGGGTAAGTTAATCACCAAATACAAAGTAAAACAGACTTTACGTGTAAATGAATGAATGAATAGGTAAAAACATAAGCATATTTAGTTCCCTTTAAGGTAGTTTATAAATTAGACATTTACAAATTGCAATTCTAATTAGATTTTCGGCCAAGATGGTGGAGTAGGTATATAAATGTTGGGTAACTATTGTGTATACCTGAAACTAATATAATATTGTATGTGAGCTATATTTTAATAAAAATCTTTAAAAAATCCATGAAGGTGCAATAAAGACCTGTTTGGAAAAAAAATAAAAATGGAATTCTAATAACTGCCCTTTTGTTAGTGGCCAGATTTCAGGTGAGACATCTCTGGCTATCCTAATACTTTTGAAAATTTAAAGAGAAAAGTTGTTGAAAGTCCTAAAAAGGAACTAACGGTGTGTTGTGCTGGTGTCCCAGGTGTCCCGGGATGGCGGAGTCGCCTCCCCCGCCTCTGACGGCCGAGGAGGCAGTGATGTGGTGGAAGGAGGCAGAATGGCTCTGGACAACAAGACCTCCCTGCTCAACACCCAGCCTCCTCGTGCCTTCCCAGGGCCTCGGGTGCGAGACTACAATCTGTATCCTTACTCAGACACCATCAACACCTACGACAAGACAGCCCTGAAGGAGGCCGTGTTTGACGATGACATGGAACAGCTTCGAGATGGTTTGTCTTTCTTTGCTTGATTGTCCCCCATCTAGAAGCACCTTCCAGGGGCGTCCCCTCTTATCTGACCAGCTCTGGGCGTACTGGAAACGTTGGGTCTGTTCTGGTTATTAACCATTTGTTCAACAGCTGCTTGTGGAGCTCCTGTGTGCTTAGGAATGGAAGGCACGACAGTGACCAAAAGTAACCACAGTCCCTGCCCTCTAGAAGCTTATAGTCTAGTCCTGGAGGCAGTCAAGAAATAAGCAGTGAGCAGACAACCTAAAATTGCAGCTGTGAAAACTGTGCAACGACGGAAGGCTAACTGTGCCCATCAGGGAAGGCTTCACCCAGGAATCAGGGCCTGAGTGGAAATCAGAAGCACAAGGGGAGTAGGAGGTTAGCGAGGTGGGGAGTGAAGGCTCGAGTGGTCCCAGCACCAGGCTCAGCATTTGTAATGGCCTCTGACGTTCACTCCCAGTCCTGAGCTGCGGAAGTAAGAAGCGCCATTGGAAGGCTTCCCTCTTCTCTCACACTTTTTTTTTGTTACTTCTCACACCAGTGTATTAGCCAGGTCCTCCCAGAGCTGCTTTATTTGACTTGCTTCCTGTAGTTGGGAGAGAGGGGATCTGGCACACACTGAGCAGTGGCATTGCCACATGCTTGCTGCTGCGCTGGTGTTTTACGTATAGTATCTAATTGAGTTAGAGGGGATTATTTCCATTTCACAGGTTGAGAAACTGAAGTTCAGAAAGGTTAAGTTACTTGCCCCAAGTATAACATAATCGGTATGGAATAGAACCAGTGTGGCTTTTTTTTTTTCTGACTCTGTGTTAAGACTAGTGTCCGTTATTGAGTAACCAGTGAGTAAATATATATTGGTATGATGGTATTTTTGTCTGAAACTTAATTATTTGTTTTCCCACCTCACTGTCATGTTCACGTTTTGATATATTGGGTTGTCAGAAAAGTCATGACGTATTTTGTCTACGTTTTTCAAAGGTCATTTATTTATATAATGAACAGAGATCAATCAGTAATATATTGCCTGTTTTGTTCGAGAACCTTTTGCAATCTTTCAGTGAGCTTCATAATTCCTTGTTCATAGAAGGACCTGTCTTTATTTGTGAAAAACTAA